CATACCTGGCCAGTGGCGCTGACGATGTGCACAAGCCAGCCGGCCATGGATCACATCACTCCCGCTGTGTATATTCCAAACACTCGAAAGAAGTGAGCAGGGCCTAGGAAAGGGAGCTTCTGGCTTTTCGCCCACGTGGTACAATGGTCAGTACGGCTAGCTAATACATAGGCGGCGGCTGAGACGCCCATCAAAAATAAAATAAAGGTCACTTTTTCTAATTCGTGCATCGCAAGATAAAAAAAAAAGTGAGGGAAGCGGAGCGCAACACCTCAACGCCACGATCCACCTAGTTATGCCACGTGCGACAGGCGGCTGCGCAGGGCCTTAGACCTAATGAGTTGCTCGACAACAATCGGCATCCACCCAGTACCCAGCCTAGGCGCAGAAGTGGCAGCCGTGAGGAGACATCCACTTTGTGAGGTGGCGCTATCGCTTGCCGCACACAGCAGTTTACCGAGCGATCGGTGTCCACTGCCCCGGGCGGTGTCACGACGCCCCAGCGATGAGCCGCAATACAAGTCAGCAACGACGCACGGCTCCCTGAGCCCAAAGCCCCGCCGCGGTGGTCTAGTGGCTAAGGTACTCGGCTGCTGACCCACAGGTCGCGGGTTCGAATCTCGGCTGCGGCGGCTGCATTTCCGATGGAGCCGGAAATGGTGTAGGCCTGTGTGCTCAGATTTGGGTGCACGTTAAAGAACCCCAGGTGGTCAAAATTTCCGGAGCCCTCCACTACGGCGTCTCTCATAATCATATGGTGGTTTGGGGACGTTAAACCCCACAAATCAATAAATCAATCCCTGAGCCCAAAGAGATGGAAGAAGCTATTTACAGAAAATCGGACCACCCACGAAGCTTCTGTACTCGCTCGTTTCGGGCCTGGCCTACAAACCACGTGCTCTAGACCTTGCTCACCCCAGGATGCAGACTGCATGGCTCTCGTCCCAATTCAACAATGGTTTTGAAAATTAACACCATCAAAAAAGAACAACACTTGCAAGCAAAAAAAAAATAAAAACTCAACCTGCCGACAAGTTCAAACACGTCTCAAAACCAATCTCGCTTCTCAACAAAGCCTAGTTCCCCTAGGCCTACTCTACCCCGGCTCCAACAAAAGCTTGTACCGAACCGCAAAAACTGTCATCCGATGCTCCAAGAGCCCCACGTTGGGCGCCAGTGTGGGGTCTCGAATTGGCGCGCGAGCGCCACGCTCTTGGAGTGAACGGACACAGTGGATACGGTAGGTACAAGCCAAAGAACAATACACATTTATTTAGCTCTTTTGAAGACGACATCGTCCGCCGAATCGATACATCCATCGTAATTAACACACTAGGACATCTGTACACACTATTACCATACACTCCATGACAAACACAATAACACGACAAACATACAATAACATGCCCAAGGCGGCGGCGCCAACGCTTGACTTGCCACGTGGGCCCCCCTGGCGCGCAGGCCCGCGGTGCCATGCGCCAAGGACCCATGCCTAGAGACAACCGTTCACGGATTAGCCTGCCACGTGCAGGAGAAGACTTGCTCAACTCTCGCCCGCCACCAAGGCTTGCTTCTGCCAAGGATCACTGCCGGCGCTGCTCCATGATGATGACGACGATAGTGGTGGCCAACTCTCGCGAACACGCCACCTACAGCCCGGTGGTTGTAACCCGAAAATGCGACTTTTGGGCGAGACACGTGCGCCACGCGCCCAAACAACTTTACAGGGGAGTGTCTGTATCCCCACACATTCCATGCATCCTTGCGTACATGCACGTTCCACAGAGCGAACCTCTGCTTGATTCCCTAAAGCTGGGTTTGGTTGTTCATTGGTATAGTGAGCTGCATAGGTACTGTATATCAAAGTTATGTTTCACGGTAGTTGCAACAGCAGCACACTAATTGGGCCCAATCGCATTGTGTTTTGTTCTTTCTAAACTGTCTCTAATAGTGATCTGACCTAAGCAGGGGGGGGGGGGAAATGAACAAAAAAAAAGAAAAAGATAACTTACCTTCTCGTAGATACAGACAATCATCTAACTAAAGTGTGCTTCGCCGTATATTTCGGCTAGGGTAGCAAAGATTTACCGGAGAGGAAGCCGCTCAGGAGTACCATGAATGCAGAGCATCGAAAGTTTGCTATTACGTTTCCTCTCCACTTGTATATCAAATTTTCGTGCCTCGCTTGAACTGATGTGGTGTGCGAGCTTGATCGAAACACTTAAAGCACTGGTGTCCGCAGCAAGTCATGGAGCACTCGCATGACGAGTATACGCGCAACCAAAGGCAGAGAACCCACTGGCTTATGCACGGAACACAACACATCGCGGCACTGGTGAGCGCTCCTCTTGACACCACGCTCACCTGTCCTGGCGCCGCAGTAGCCGTTGCCGAACTGTTCGAAGACAGCTCCGTAGTAAACGCGTACCGTCATTATCGAAAGAATGCATAGGTGGCCGCCTAATTGATGGAGAAACACCGTAAAAGCAAGACGCGCTCCGCCATGGACGCGATGTTGGTGCAGAAACTTCACTTGAGGGACGATTCAAGGTAGCTCGATCTTTTCCTTGACAATATCGAGGAAACGCTCGATATTTTCTCAAGCGGTTTGTGAATGGGAAAACGCCACTCAAGGAGCGTTTTGAGTGAAGGGTCGAGTCGAGGAGCATTTGTGAATACGGGGGTTGGGGTCTCTCTTGGAGCTCTGTGGCAATAACACATAGTAGCTTGCATAGAGTTTCATACAAATTCCTATCTATGCGGACCCTTTCAGCGACGCTTGTACCCGCATGGAAATGATGGAAGTACAGGCTTCGGATCTGCTTCAGATGGATCACATTCTTGAGACTCGCGACGCTTCTTTTCCAAGTGTGAAACGAAGTAATGTAAAGTTATATCAAATTGAAACTTACTTCATTTTTTTGTACGCAAACTTTATTGCAAACGGTTCTTGTGACTAGGTGGTAGCATTGAAACCTGCACAAATTTAACCATCAGGGTATGCATTGTTCTGTCATTGCATTCGAGATTTGACATGAAGGTGTAATGAATTATTCATTACAACATTTCAAAACAAACACTCTTGGTTTGCCCTTGGAAGTATGCAATATCTATTTGTGAAAATAACAGCACAGTATTAAGTGAGAAACACTTAGCGTTTCGTCTGCTGCGATGCCAGGTGCATCTGTTCAAGTGGTCTGCCCCCAATGCACCTGTCAGTCTGTTGTGAGCTCGAGTCAGAATAGCATGGCGGTGCGTATACTTCGCGTTGCCGTCGTTTTGCTGTTGATATCAATGAGCTTTGGCAAGACGCACTAACAATAAACGTGAACTCGATGTAATATCCTGCACCGGCATGGGACGCTACATCTATGCGCAGCAGTGAGTGGACGACGCTTCGCTTTAACTGTCAAACACGACTTATACTACTCCAGCATTGCAGTAAATAGAGAGGCCCAGCAGTTTTCAGCTTCTTTGAACAACAAAGGCGCAGCTTCAATCTTTTGCACCCACCCCACCATCCACTCTCTGCGAAGAACGAAACTGAAGCTGCAGAAAAAGATGTGTAGACAGTTTACTGGCTAACACGATCCAATCCGAAGCCTGTACTTCCTGTAATTCCCATAAGGGTACATGATCGCAGCACCAGATTCTTCTCTAGGTATTATTGTATGAAACTCTGTGGTAGCTTGCATAGAAATCATTTACATAAATCCAAGTTTATGATGCATTGCACAGCTATGATACTTTTGGTGCACAACACAGAAGTGTTGATGGGCTTATAAGACTTCTGGTACAATTATTGGCTCTGTGCGGTAATAACTAGTGTGCACCAGTTATGCCATGCGTAATATTGAAAGCGAATCTGTTAAGGGAAAAGTTATGAAGGGCTGCCGGATAAGGGAACTTGTTGACAAGAAAAGCGGAAGCACTCCTCTGTCTTGTTTCAAAATAGGCTTACAGTGACCCTGCAACAGTTTTTAAAGTAGCCATGGAATGGATTCAGTAAAAGAGCCTATTTCCCCATGAATTGACTGCCGCGAAAATTTCGAGGACCCATCCAGTAAAGGCACTATTACAAAGATTTGTCGCACGTTGCAATTGTTTGCTCTCTTTTTTCGACACGGCGAATGCGCTGGAGCAGGGAGGGATGGCTCGGGGGAGGGGGGGGGGGGAAGGTATGTCATCCGTGCACTGTGACCTTGAGCACTCTTCCTCTGTCTTTTTTTTCTTCAAACGCACAGCTTTTCAGTGCCATCGTGTAAGCTCGTGTGGACACTTCGTGGCCTCTTGCGGTGGCCCTAGTAACTCCCGAGCGCACCATACTCAAGTCGTCCAGTGGCATGGTACTTGGGCCTGCGATGCAATGATTTTTTAGTATATAGCATCATTTGTCAAGAGAAGAGAAAGTGGGTTTTAGTTGACTTTGTTAATTGTAAATGTCAGGCCATGCCCTGTCTGTAAACATTTGCCTTGCTTGTCCTCAGGATCTCCGACTACCAATTGGCAGTGTTTTTTTGACCACGCTCAAAAAGTGTTGCGGGACCTCTTTAAAGTTATCACAGCAGCAAGCTAACAGCGGCAATAATATCAATTAGCCATAACTATTGCAGACGCGAGCTGCTGCTCGCTTGCACTGTGGTTGCTTTGAGGGCTCGTTATAAATAATTTTTCCCAATTTTTTTTTCTGTTTTCATGACCTTTTAAGGACTATGTCCTTTGTTGAACTGCACAACACAGGTGTTGTGTAGATTGTTTACAAAGGTACATATAGCATGCATATTATTTAAAAATAAACCGTACTCTGTCGGTGCATCTGTCCGTTTATCTGTCTGCCCATCCATCTGTGCACTGTGTCCGACTGTCCGTGCACCCGTCCATTCAACTATTGGTCCTTAATACTGGTTGGCGACTTCAACGTAGACATTATGAACTGCAGGACCTAACTTCATCAGCATTTATTTCGTGAATCTGTGGCCATTTTTGTTTTGGTTTTGCAGGTAGATTAACTGGACCAAGTTGCAATACAGTATCAGCATGTGGCGAAGGCGCAACATCGGCAGAACCTGCTGGAGCATCGCAGAAAATGGATTTGGATTCCGGATGCTCCTCACGCAAGCATCCAATGGCCTCAGATGCAGCCACACAAGGCGAAAAAAGTGGTGAGTACTGTTCATGTAATGTTTGTTTTCCTTTCTATTCTTTTTTTTTGCTTAGTTGTATATTATCATGCATAAAGAATGGTGTCTGCTGCTATTGTATATCGGTTCGAATCCCGGCTGCGGCGGCTGCATTTTTGATGGAGGCGGAAATGTTGTAGGCCCGTGTGCTCAGATTTGGGTGCACGTTAAAGAACCCCAGGTGGTCGAAATTTCCGGAGCCCTCCACTACGGCGTCTCTCGTAATCATATGGTGGTTTTGGGACGTTAAACCCCACATATCAATCAATGCTATTGTATATCAAGTGTAATGCCAGTGCATATTGTTACAACCTTGTTTGCCAATTGACGTCTTGAAAATGGCGCAAGTTTAAAACCTTTGCAGCACCCATAGTGATTGTTTGTAAATGCATGAAGTTTGCTTAACTTGATGCTGAGGTTCAAGAGATCAATCTTGATGCAAATAGAAGTGTTAAAATGAATATGTATGGTGTCTTGAACAGCTTTTCTTGATAGTTAGAACATAAATAGTTATCCAATTATTGTGCAGACATTCGTGGTATAATTTTTTCATAAGCCGAATTCAATGACCGACTCAAATTACATGCAATAGTTATCTGCCGGCAGCAAGCATTGCTGAAGTGGTTAAAGAATGTTTTCAAATTTCTGCCAGAAGGCCCACGTACATGTCATTAAACACTGTACCGCATTCACCATAACGACAGTATGTACCAATACATACCATATAGAATCGATATAAGGAACTTAAGAGAAAAAAAATGCTTAATTTGCCATTGGCTCAGTATTCGTGGTCTTTTTCTTGCCAATAGTGCACAGAGGTGGCAGAGGTAAGTCTAGTCTCCTAATGAGTATGCTGTGTCACAAAGGTTTAATATGCCTAAATGCTTGACATTTGCATTGAGCACAAGAGACTGACTAGAATTCCATGAGTACACGTCCCCTTTAGTAAATAATTGGAAATTTAGGTAATGGATTTCACTGTGCTGTGCATTAGCAGATAATTTGTGGTTCTCTTATTTAAACTGCAATTATGGACACTCACGCTCCTGGTACATTGTTGTTGGAGACTACTGAAGGTTCGTGGAAGCAGTCGACACGTCCTAGTATAGAACCTGTTCATTTTCTCTTTTTTTTTTCAGCAAATGGCACAAGCATCAATACAACAGTGCTTGCAGCATCAAGCTTAAAAGACGAGCTGCGCCCTCAAGAAATGGAAATCGACCTGTACTGCACCTTCAGCGATACAAGCCCACTTACAGTGTTGCCGAAAAAGCCGATAAGCATAATAAACGCCCTTTCCCCTCAGGAAAAACCTGGTAAGTGAAACTTCAGTACAAAACTGTGTGTAGCTTCATGGTCATCTACATAAGTAACTTAGACAAAGAACTCAGTCGATTTATAAAGGGAAAAAAAATTGATATTCATATGCTTGCGTAGTATAATGCCGAGCAAGCCCGCCCCTCCTCCTCCTCCCACAGGGAAGGATAATGTGACCAAATTAGGGAGCGGGGCGATTGCTTGGGAAGAATGTGTAGTTGGCCAAGTTGGTACTGATTCATAAGTGTACTGTGCAAAAAACAAGAAAACACAAACTAGAGAAAAACTGTGCTTATCTGTCCTTTTTCTCTACTTCAGTTTCCAACTCTTTTTTTGCGTAGCACACTTATGCATCAATTGCTTGTTCCCGGACCGAAACTCAAGATGGTGACAGATGTGCTGCTAGAAATTTAAAAAAAAAATGGCCGTCCATGTTGCTTAATAATAAAATGCTTAATTTAAGAAGCATTTCATAAAAACCATTAGGTATGCATTCAGTATACTCGTTCTTGTGGCTCTTTTAACACAAGCGTTGCTTGTCTTGGAAAAAAAGTGGTCGCTGGAGACGAGGGGAGGGCACTTGCTCGGTCATTGGCGCTCATTTCAGATTCCCCCCCCCCCCCTAAAAAAAAGGGCACTTGCTCAACATTATGTAATAGTTGCCAGAAACACTGAAGAGCAGATCTGGAGCAGTTGATGTTGTTCAAAGTGACACTGCAAAATAGCACATTGCGTAAGTCTTTATGGTAAACGTCACCTCTCAAACCTTTTTTTGCCTTTAAAGATCATTGTTCCGGCCCAACATGAAAGAGTCACTTAATGAGAGAAATGTCCGAAAATTAAGGCTTCTTACAGATGTGTTGAAATTTCCGAAGCCCTATGTTATGGTGTCTCATAATGATATTGTAGTTTCAGGATGTAAAAACTCAACAATAAAATTTATTGAACCATGTGAAATGAACCATGTGCAAAATGACTCGGCTTCCGTCCACTTTCTTAGTTGTCAGTGCATGTGCAGTAGAGCTAGTCCTACGAACATTGCCGTGTGTAGCCCCTGACAGCGCCAGATTACAAATTTACATTGCTTCCATTGTACCATATTTATCGATTGTAACAAGAGCTTTTTCTAAGAATTTTGCTACCTAAAGTCAGCACTCTCATTACAATCGAATACCGAGATAACTGTTTTTCTCCCTAGACGCAATAAGAAGTCGCCCCTCGCGTTACAGCTGTGGTCATGCTACGATCAAGTAAATACGGTAATTGGTATTTTGCAACTATGGTAATTGTGTTTTTCACCTGTGGATCTGGGGCAAGTTCCCTACTTTACAGCGATCCAAATATGCCCAAAGGATTGTGGGAATGGTTTTGTATGGATCATACCAAAATTTGTGAATTCGTCACATATTTAATTTCTGTGACTGTCTCACTTTAACTCTGTATTTTTCCACACCAACCAGTCACCATCTTATTGCAGGCACAATTTTGCGAGCTGATTTCACTTAGAGATTGGAAGTGGTGTAATGTATCTCCGCATCAACACTTGCCTTCACGTTGGAGTGAGTAAAAGCAACCTGACATGTAGAGAATCGGGAACAGTGTTTATCGAGAAGTGCAATGCTGCTCCAAATCGACCAACAACAAATTCATCATTGCAAAACAACATATGCTGCTTGAAATTACCCAACATAGGAAAACAGCGCTATACTATGAATGTTTAAAGTATTGGGAAAACATCGCAGCGCAGTATGCCACAAGATCACTCACATGGCCACTTATGCATTTGCCGAAGGTGACTTGAAGGTGAAAGCCATCGTCTTTTTCTTCTCATTAGATTGCATTGATGCTCCCACCCCCGAAAGTTTTCTGTACCTAATGTGTGTTTGCAGTGCCTCTGGTGTCAAAAACGTAGCTAGTTTTTAGGATTGGCCCACCTGTGACCAAGTGACGATGCCATGGGATGACGTCACAGTGTGATGGCACTTGATGTGACATTGAAATGATGTTGCCGGGTGACCTCATGACGAGTTTTCTGCATCAGCCCTGTTTGTTGCTGCTGACAGTTACTTTTAGTGTTTGCTAAGGCTCCTTCACTTGTGTCAAGCAGGCAAGCATGACGAGTTTTCTGCATCAGCCCTGTTTGTTGCTGCTGACAGTTACTTTTAGTGTTTGCTAAGGCTCCTTCACTTGTGTCGAGCAGGCAAGTTAGGTTTATCTATGGGAAGTACACTTTCATTACAGTGCACTTCACGAATTCTGAAAGCTGCAAGCAGAGTGTCGCTTGCTGAAGAGGTATACTCTGATTTATGTGTGTTCCATGAACACACTTTGCTGTGTCTCAGCCAGCCAGTGCTTCTATGAAAGATAGTTTCGTTTTTCAGAGAGGTAAAAAAAACCTCTCTAAGAAGTATAAGGTTTTCGTCGTAATGTATATATGGTGTATAAGGTTTTCGCGTTAATGACTGTTGCTTTGTGGCAGCTACCCCTGGAACGACAGTGCCAGCGGAGACGGCCCCAAAGGCTCCACGGACATATCGTATGCTGACCGAGGAACTTCTCCTCAACCTGGTGGCGGAGTGTCGCTCCTGCGGTAGCTACACGCCCCTCATCCATGCACTGGGACAGGTGTTTCTCACGGGAGAAGTTCCTCAAGCGCAGCTTCCCACGGAGGCCATCGCCTTCTTCGGAGGACGGAGGTCTGACCAAGGAGGATCTGCGTGCTATGGAAGCAGACATGGACAAGGACCAGGATTCGCTCGAACTGGAAGGCGGAGCAGCATCTAGTGACTGTGATCACATGCTCATGGAGGCTGGTCTGTCGGAAGTGGTGCCCGACAGTATGTCTAGGAACGTCTCAGCTATGCTGACAGAGTGAGTACTCACTCAAAGCTGTGTTGATCTTTATAGCAAAGCTGCATAGCCTCTCATTCACTTTGTTTGTGTTGTTCTGGAACTTATTTTTTGCCAGTTTTGTTGTGTAATAGCAAAGAGGAAAAAAAAAAAGAAAGAGCCGTCGACATTACGCTTTACGTAAGGCTAGCCTTCTGAATACACAGTGTGGCTTTGTTTGAAGGGGCACTAAAAGGGCATTCAGTCGACGTTGATCACTGAAACATCAGTGCAAAACCTCTTAGTGCTACTTTCGTGCCAAGGAAATACTTATTTTGTTGTAAAATCAAGTTTTAGTAGTCTGTACAGCGTTAGCGCACTTCAAATAGCTTTTCTATGTGACAGTTGTCTTGCCCAACGTTGCCCGCCTTTATCGCATGACCATCGACACTAGTAGCAGCAAAGAGAAAGTAGCGGGAGCCACAGCAGCAGCAATGCCCATCGAAGCTTGCCCGGCTTGCGGTGATGGATGTTGTCGGTGAACCGGACTACGAGAGCTCGTGGTGCTAGCATTTAGCCCCTTAGAGCGTAGAGGTTTGCTTTGCAACACCTTGAGGAAAATCTAGTCGGTTTATTTTCTGCAGCTCGAGGGGTGTATATCATTTATTTAGAATGTAAAATCACATGCATATGCTATTAAGAGCTTTTAGCTTCTACGTGTACTTACTGCATTACCAGAATACTGGACTGCATTTACCGTGTTATTGGAACGCATGTTTTTGCAAATTTTTAGCAAAGTTATTGTTTACAAATGCGCAAACGTTTATAAGGTGATGATTACTGCACCTAATTTATATTTAAGTCGGATAAAATGAATCACTTCTGCAGCAAAATTATCTAGGCTTTCACTGTTTGCAGTATCTTTGAATATATAAACGATTGTATGAATGCAGAGTTACTGGACAATAGTGTTGACATATGTTGACACTTTGTGCAATTACAGCCATGGACACGTTTGTGTTTGCCTAGCGTTTCTTAGGGGAAAAAATATTTAAAAGGCAACTCATTCGTCATTACGCTGCTGCTAGGCATTCACACCAGAAGTACAATACACGATGTTTCTGCAATAAAAAATTTGTGCTTGCATGGTTCCACTGGGCCACGCTAGATGGCACCACCTATCCAGTTACCAGGCAAAAACGGAATTTTTGAACCACTCACACCATTCCGCATGCTAATACCAAGTGTTCTTTATTTCATGAATCAAACAGAAATGAAATAGTAGCGGCATTTCATTATGTGTTGCAATGTAAGGATGGTTCTTTTTTTATGGCATGGTTTGATTAATAGCGATGAATTGTACTCAGGCCTTTTGATGTCATTGGGGACTGGGGACATTTCAAAATGTGTCACTCATGGCACGTGTGGTGTCATGCATTTACTTTAATTTCTCGATCGGTAGAGCTCTGCAACTGATAATACATGTATTGAAGTTTTAGACATTCTCAAACAATCTCTCACTCTGACCTAAATTTCTCACTCTGTCGGCTTAGGTGAAGGTGCTACCATATTACCATATTTTGTTAGATGTTAGGTGTACAGCATTGCATTAGCAATGGCAAAAAACGCATCTCTTCTTCTTAAAATGCTTGAATGCAATGGCCAACTTTTTCATGTACATAATCAGTAGAGCTGTGTGAATGGCAAAATTTTGGGTGCGAAGTGAATCGTAGTATTTAAGTGTGAGTACAAATTGAATAGAATAAAGAAGTACGCACCAGGCTGTGGCCGGATAGCCGCTGTGGTGGCTCAGTTGGTAGAGCATTGGACGCGTTATTTGAAGGTCGCAGGTTCGGCCCCTGCCGCAGCAAGTTTTTCTTTCGTCCACTTTTCTTTATTCACATGTACATTTCATTTAGCACTACAAATAACTTTCCCAATACTTTTCTTGTTATTGCCTGTTGATTCTCATTAATATTGAGTATGAATAAAAGAAATTGTTATGCAATACGGTTTGGGGAGCAGGCCTTATGACTAGTGCAAGAAATGCTGGGTAGGGCAGCAAGGAAGTAGACGCAACTGGCACTGGCACAAAAACATATATTCATGCAGAAAACAGCACACACTAGACAAATACAAAAGTTCAGCCATACAAGAAACATGAGAAGCGTCTTTAGAAACTGTTCAAAGAATGCCGTGCTCACACTACGGGCCTTGACTTGATGGTCGTGGCTGCGTCGTGGGTCATGGAAGAGAAAGGCCTGGAGGGTTGTCGCAGGTACTGCGTCCAATGGGCGCTAGAGCAAAATTTATGTTGTTTGCAAAGTCCTTCAGGTGTTGACGTTCGTTGAGGTACCTCCGACGGTGCTGGGCCCCCGAACGTTGACGTCCAACCAGGCCAACGCGTCTTCCTCGCTCCAGCTTCTGGCACCTTCTGCTTTGACAACATGTATTCTTCTTTTTTTTTTTCTCGGCATGGGCCATGTGGGCATGTGCAGGGTGGTTTCTTCAAAACGGGTGAACCCCTCTTGATTCAATGCGTGTGCACGTGCGTTTTCTTCGCCGATTGGTTGCCTTCTCAGCGGCGTCAGAGTACCTCATCACACTCTTACTGTTGGTCTTCATTTGCGCCCTCCAGTAGTCTAGTGGTTATACGTAGTACACCACTGCCAACCTGAAGGTTTCAGGATTGAACCACGACCATGGTGGCTGCATTTTAATAGAGATGAATTCTTAGAGACTTGTGTACTTGGATTTAGGGTCATGTTAACTCTAGGTAGTTGAAGTTTCTGGAGCCCTCTACTACGGCGTCTCTCATATTTGCATTGGGGTTTCCAGTCATAAAGCCCCAACAGTTAGTATTATTATTAATATGGAGATTCTTGTCAAGTGCCCATGCTTGGTAGAGCTTACTGAGCACTCTTCTTTCTGTTAATTCATGTTAGTCCACAATTCGAGTTAATTTTACCTTGGTATCATTAGGTGTTGTACAGCACACTGCCCGACTTTCATCCTCGAATCTACGCCTTTCTTTTTTTCTTTTGCAGACTCAATGGATTGGTGAACCAGGATATTCCAGTGGATGTCGAGTCCGTCAGGAGGTCTTACGATGTCCTGTTTTCCATACCAGACCTCCCTTTTCTCGACGCTCTAGTGAATGCCATCATGATTCTCTGTGAGAACCTGGAAATTGGTCTCAAGTAAGGCATATTCTTTGTGCTTCAATCAAGTTAATTGATGTTTTGTGTACATTGATGGCTGAGGAAAATAGTATCTTGTAATACGTCTCTGCTGATTAATAATTGTGTGTCAAAACTATTAATTGTGTGCTCGCTTGGAAACATAGCTTTGAGAGTTTGCAATGAATGAAAAGACAAGCCCCTGAACTCCCATTTTAATGCTACCGTTCTGTAAACTTCTTATGAAACCTATATAAGCGCTTATGTTCTCTCATAGAATGTAGCAAGCATCTCATTAGTTCTGTTTCTTCTAGAGCTGTGAGAATAGCAAAATTTTGGGTGCGAAGCGAGTGCGAATATCGAAGTGTAATTTCAAATCGAATAGAATAGTATTTTTAGAATATTTTTTGAATACTTTAAAGTGAAACTGCAGAGAAAAATGTTGGAGAGGATCCCTAAGCATATTCTTATAAGATAGCAACATGAACATTTTACTCTTGGCTAGGTTGATGAATCACTGGCAGGTTGGTGTTTCATAGTTGTCTTGTCAAGAATGAGGCAATGCAGAGACCGAATTGTATTTATGAACATGATTTGGTGAACCAAAGTGTTGTTGACAACACTTCACACGTAAAAGACAAAGGTGCTATTTTCTCAGCTTCTCCTCTTTGTTTCAACTTTCGTGGAAGCCTAGATGATGTAGTGGACAAGGGTGTGCTCCCTTCGAGCCCGAAGTTTTAAATCTGCCTTGTAGACGTCAATATACGAGATCATCTGAAACTCAGAATGCTAGAAATTTTTGGCGGCTGATTTACCAGTTTTTCTGCCCAAATTTCAGGTCAGAAGCAGTATTAGTTTAGCCCCCACCTCTGCCACATCTCTCATCTTCAATTTGGAACCAGTGTTTTCTTGATTTGAATCAATATTTTTGCAACTTTAGCAAAGCCTTAAAGGAAGCTTCGCCTCAATACGAGAATTTAGTGTTGGGAAGCGTATTGAAAATTTGAAGGGGCCACTGCAAATTGAAAGTCGACTTTTTTTTTTCTTTTCTTGAGAAGTTCAAATAGCTCAAATAGTATAATTTCAGTGTGAATTGAACTAAATAGCAAACACAATTTTTTAATATATATTTAAAGTTTTGAATTTTTGCCCACCTCTCATTAATATGGTAAAGAAAAATTTCCTAGACTATTCTAAAATAATCAGACACCACTTTGAAGGTTCTTTATGCCAAGGAAGGAAGGAAAATAGAGGGAAAAGAAAGGCAAGGAGGTTAACCAGCCTATAGGCAGCCGGTTTGCTACCCTGCGCATGGGGGAGGGATGGGGGAGATGAAAGAGAGCAGAGAGGGAAGATAGAAACAGCACATTTGGCAGCACATGCGCGCACACTCAGTCATAGTCCAGTCTTGTTTTTCGTGGTGTGTGACATTGCTGTTACAGTCGCTTGTTCAAGTCGGTGTCGCGTAGGAATTTCAACAGAGCTTTCGTCGCCTTCTGTTGCAGTGTCTTCTCTCGGGCACTCCACAGAATAGTGTCCACAGACATTTGGCTGTTGTCGATGCGCGCAAAAGCAGACGCCAGTGCCTGTCTCTGGATTTCATACAATGGACAGTCACACAGGATGTGGTGTAGCGTCTCTTCGCAATGACAGGCATCGCAGAGAGCGTTGTCGGCCATTCCTATGACAAAGGAGTAAGATTTTGTAAATGCCACTCCTAGCCATACGCGATGAAGTAGGGTGGCTTCTCTTCGGTCGAGTCCAGTGGGCATGCGGAGATCCATCAAATAGGACAGGTGGTGTTGACGATTCGTATCCATGCTTGGTGGGCACCATAGTGAAAACGTGATTTCACGCGCAAGTCGTCGAAGATTACTGGCAGCATCAGTCCTCGAAAGTGGTATGGCTTCTTTTCGTGTTCCTTCAAGGGCTGCCCGCGCGGCAGTATCGGCATGTTCGTTTCCCATGATGCCGCAATGACTTGGCAGCCATTGAAGCGTCACATGATGCCCTTTCTCGAGTAAAGTGTGGAGAAGGCATCGAATTTCGAAAACAAGCTGTTCGTACGGGCCGCGACGCAGTGCTGAGAGCACAGATTGTAGGGCAGCCCTTGAGTCGCTGAAAATCGACCATTGTTGCGGTGGTTCCCGATTGACCACACAAAGTGCAGCGCGCAAAGCAGCTAGTTCCGCTGCTGTAGATGTCGTGGAGTGGTCAGTCCTAAAGCTGATGGTAACACCTCTTGCTGGGATAACTACTGCCCCTGACGAACACTGGTGGTTCGTGGAACCATCGGTGTATACATGTATGCTGTCTGAATATTTCTCGTACAAAAGAAGAAGAGACAGTTGTTTCAGCACGGGTGACGAAAACTCAGATTTCCTCCGGATCCCTGGTACACTAAGATGCACTGTGGGTCGAATAAGACACCAAGGTGGTATGGATGGTTTAGATGCATGAGTGAAGCCCGAGGGAAGTTTATCGTTGTATTTCACGATAATTTTGGTGAACGATGCTTGGCGCCTCTCTGAAGGCAACAGTGCAAGGTGATGGCCGGGGGCACGTGCGAAGTGTCGGATGTGCGTTCTCAGGACTTCTACAACAATGTGAGTTTGTATCGGATAGTCACCAGCAATTGCAATTGTTGCTTCTGTTGACGTACATCTGGGCAGACCGAGGCACACTCTCAGCGCTTGGGCTTGTACTGCCTGTAAAACACGAACATTGATCTTGCAGGTATTGCTAAGCACAGGCAAGCTATATCTGAGGAAACCGAGAAACAGGGCCCTGTAGAGCTCCATCATTGCGTCTACTGACATCCCCCACGTCTTTCCTGCCAGGAACTTGAACAGTTGAGAAACAGCGGTCAGGCGCTTCTTCATATAGGTCACATGCGGACTCCAACAGAGGTCCCTATCAATGATGATGCCCAGAAACCGGTGGGTTTTGGCGTAAGAAATCGGTCGCCCGCAGATTGAGATGACATAAGGGGTCATTGCTTTGCGAGTGAAAGCCACCAGCGCGCATTTTTCTGGTGATATGCTGAGACCTTGTTTGAACAAGTAGTTGGCAATCATAGTTGCTGCTTTTTGAAGCCGGGATCGTATCTGAGGACGTGTGACTGCCGATGTCCAGACACAGATGTCGTCTGCGTATATTGATATTTTAATTGTGCTTGGCAAGTATTCAGCAAGGCCAATTAGTGCGAGATTGAATAGCGTCGGGCTAAGAACTCCGCCTTGAGGAACACCCCTGGAAGTATAGCGTCGCGTAGTTGGGCCATCTTCTGTTAACACAAAGAATGATCTTGCAGCCAGGTAACTCGAAATCCACCGAAAGACTCGACCACCAAGGCCAACCACCGCAAGAGCACCCAAAATGGCTTCATGTAGTACATTATCATAAGCGCCTTTCACATCTAGAAACAAAGCTGCAGATAGTCGCTTACGGGATCTTTCGTGCTGAACGTACGAAACTAGATCAACGACATTGTCAATAGAAGAGCGGTCGCGTCGGAAACCAGCCATTGAATTCGGATAAATCTTGTAGTGTTCAAGATACCAGTCCAGGCGGCCTAGTATCATCCGTTCCATTATCTTCCCTACGCAGCTGGCCAGTGCTATTGGGCGGTATGAGGTTAGTTCGAGTGGGGATTTGCCCTGCTTCAAGACGGGTAACAAGCGGTTTACTTTCCAGTCATCAGGAACATTGCCATCCTGCCACGAGATGTTGTAGAGGCTCAACAGTTCTCTCCTTGCACCTTCCCCAAGGTTGCACAAGGCTCGGTACGGAATACCATCTGGGCCCGGAGAAGTTGAACGCCTGCAGAGAGCTAGTGCCGCCTCGAGCTCCTCCATTGTAAAAAGGAGGTCCATGTGGTAGTCACGGGAACGGGGGACGTCGCCTCTCACTGGAGAATCTGGACGAGTGGCTTGGTTGGCGATCTGCGCACAGAAATCTTCTGCGACATCGATGTCTGGCCTCCTTTGAAATAGCGCGAGCGCTTTGAATAGCGCTCTTTATGCCAAATTGCCAAAATACGTTGATATGTAGTTAAATTTGTTTGATATTAGTGCTGATATATGAGCACAATGTACACTTGGCCTTTGTTTTCTCTTTTTGCAGCATTTTCTAACTAATTAGTATAACTGAGAAGAATTGTTGGTTCAACATTGCACCTTATTTAACCCTGTAATGTCAACGCACACTTATGCCTTCAGAAAAGTTGTGACAAAACGTTGTTCTTACTCTTTTTGTACAGTTCATTTTCAGAAAAATATTAAATTCTGTTTTGAGGCTTAGCTTAATTAGTTCTAATATGGAAATAATTAAGTGCTATCGTATAATATGTAAGTAACTGTACCTTCTTCATAACATGTCAAATCAGCAATAGCTGCTGATCGTGACACCTAAAGTAGCTTTTAGTAGCGTTATTGAGGTGTTATATTCAAAGTTGGAAAAACTAGCCACACTGTTTACGAGGTGTCTCCTGACAGGAAGAGTACCAGAGTCTTAAAAGAATGCTAACATCATCTTAATACATAAGAAAGGAGATGACAACGACTTGAAGAATTACAGACCGATCAGCTTGCTCTCTGTTGTATACAAGCTATTTACAAAGGTAATTGCTAACAGAGTAAAGAAAACATTAGAATTCAATCAACCAAAGGAACAAACAGGATTTCGAACAGGCTACTCAACAATCGACCACATTCATACTATCAATCAGGTAATAGAAAAATGCTCAGAATATAACTAACCACTATACATAGCCTTCATAGATTACGAGAAGGCGTTTGGTTCAGTAGAAATATCAGCCGTCATGCAGACACTGCGGAATCAGGGCGTCGATGAAGTATATATAAACACCCTGGAAAAAATCTACAGGGGATCAACTGCTACCATAGTGCTTCATGAAGAAAGCAATAGAATACCAATCAAGAAGGGTGTAAGGCAGGGGGACACAATCTCCCCAATGCTATTTACCGCATGCTTAGAGGAGGTTTTCAGAAGCATAGAATGGGAACAATTAGGGATAAGAGTTAATGGAGAGTACCTTAGTAATCTGCGTTTCGCCGATGACATTGCATTGCTGAGTAACTCAGGGGACGAATTGCAACTCATGATTACGGAGTTAGACAAGGAGAGCAGAAAGGTGGGTCTTAAAATTAATCTGCAGAAAACGAAAGTAATGTACAACAACCTCGGCAAGGAGCAGCGCTTCGAGATAGGTAATAGTGCACTTGAAGTTGTAAAAGACTATGTCTACTTAGGGCAGGTAATAACCGCAGAGCCGAACCACGAGATTGAAGTAACTAGAAGAATAAGAATGGGGTGGAGCACATTCGGCAAGCACTCTCAAATTATGACAGGTAGTTTGCCACTATCCCTCAAGAGGAAGGTATATAACAGCTGTATCTTGCCGGTACTTAGCTACGGAGCAGAAACCTGGAGACTTACAAAGAGGGTTCAGCTTAAATTGAGGACGACGCAGCGAGCAATGGAAAGAAAAATGGTAGGTGTAACCTTAAGAGACAAGAAGAGAGCAGAGTGGATTAGGGAACAAACGGGGGTTAAGGATATCATAGCTGAAATCAAGATGAAGAAATGGACATGGGCAGGGCATGTAGCGTGTAGACAAGATAGCCGCTGGTCATTAAGGGTAACTGACTGGATTCCCAGAGAAGGGAAGCGGGTTAGGGGGAGACAGAAGGTTAGGTGGGCAGATGAGATTAAGAAGTTTGCGGGTATAAATTGGCAGCAGCAAGCACAGGACCGGGTTAACTGGCGGAACATGGGAGAGGCCTTTATCCTGCAGTGGACGTAGTCAGGCTGATGATGATGATGATGGTGATTATATTCAAAGTATCAAATACCCGCAGGTCACAGGATCATATCCCGGCTGAAGCGGCTACATTTTCGATGGAGGCGAAAATGCTGTCCGCCCGTATGCTCAGATTTGGTTGCACATTAAAGAACCCCAGGTGGTCGAAATTTCCGGAGCCCTCCACTACGGCGTCTCTCATAATCATATGGGGGTTTTGTGATGTTAAGCCCCACATATCAATCAATTAATCAATGCATCAAATATAATACAGTGGGCATTACAGGGCTCAATGTTCTCTCATCATAATTTCACTGTAACTATGTAATGACATTAACCTGTTACATAAATGTGCGCATCAAGATGTTCATGGGGATTGGTCTCATTACATTTAATATGCAAAATATTTTCATATATATGTATATATATATATATATGTGTGTGTGTGTGTTGTCTATTAAGATTTTATGTTATTCCTTTCTTCCTTCTATACTGCTCCTTCCTAACATATTTTGTACATTGTGCATGCCTATGCTGTATAGAAATGTATGTGTACGCTGCCTTGTGTATGGGACTCTTCAAGCTACATTTCACCACTTTTGGATGTTGGAAATAAACTATATTTATATATGTATTGATCGGTAGTTCAATCGATTGATCAATTGATCGATTGGGTTGATTGATTTTACAGGTACCACAAGGCGTACCAGAGTGATCCCAGCATGCTATCCGTGTTTGTGGTGCTGCTAGAGCTTCCTCTGCTCGAGGGACCCCTGAGTGGGAGTGCGTTGCACGCGCTCTGTCGGGCTTGCGCCCTACTGCCGCCCGAGGCCCAGGCACGGCTGGCCAAACAGTGGGGGGCCCAGTGCCCTCCTCACCGGCTGCGTAACACCCTCAACGCACTGCATCAGGTGCTGACTGCACGCGTCATCGAGGGGCACTTTGGCCGAGACTTTGGCGTTGCCGACGATGAGCTTTTGGTGGCCTCAATCAAGGTTGGTGTGCAGTAGTGTCTTGCTCCATTGTTAAGGTGCCAGCTTGGATTTTCAGGAATACTTTGTCATCGTGCGACAATTCGACGTAAAAGTAATTGCACGCATGAATAGGCAACAGCCAAAAAAAGTTTATCATTTTAAGCACCTGTCACACAGTCCAATCACTTTCCTAAATGCCGTTCTCCTTGTGTTCCTTCTGAATAAAAATTTGCTTGAGAGTCAATCCATGTCGTGTGCATTCCTTTCGTCCTTGATCTTTTTGAGCGCTGCGCGGTGCTAAGTTTGAATTTTCCTGAAAGGCAAGTATATTTCTTGAGGAGGCTCATTTTTTAACGTGGTCAGAAAACGACTGTGTCAGCATAGTTTGCTGCCTCATTAGGCCTGCATATGTGGCCTTTTGTTCATGTAGAGGCACAGCATTGTAGACTGGTGACACTAGCTGTAATGAGTAAGCTTTGAAAAATGTGGCTTCAACTAGAGATTGAGAAGTTAAGATGTGCTGTTGACTGCAGCCAATAGGTTGCTTACCCGTGCATTCTGCTGTTTGTATTGAAAGAGCTTAAGGAATTCTTCAGTCAGAGCTTTGGTCACAATAAAAGTCTCCAAATGAAAATCCACCTGAGGAAAGTTGAATACCGTCGCATGATTCCACCAGCACACAGTTCCTCCTTATAGTTATGCTGCAGTTCTTTTGAAAGGGCTAGTAAACAACCCCTAGGTCCAAAAATTGTTGTAAAAAGAATTATGTGCTCTGTTATGTCGTGAACATGCTGCTGCAGGAATTTTGCGAATAAATGCTATAATAAGGAAGTTACAGGGGCTAGAAGATGGCGTTTAGGTGGTTTCAAATTTTCGCACGGCCTCGCCTCCCTTCTCCTACAGAGGGAAGGGAAGGGGTGGCCTGTTGTCGTGACTACGCTCACTTTGGCACTGTGACAACACGTCAGCGATTGACGTCATTGGCGAACTCGATCAGTCGCAACGCACTTCTGCTTGCTGCGATGCCTGGTTGTTTACTTTTTACCTGGTGCTGATGCTTCTCCGCAGCCCAGTCGCTCGATTCGCAGCAAAACTGCGTTCCGAAACCCAGGCATGAAGTTAGCCTGATTTTCCTGGAGTTCGATTTTTTGGGAGCAGACTGTCGTGCCATCTGGGAGCAACAACATAAAACACAAATAATGTGCCTAATAGTGGGTGGGCTGATCAACAGGGGGCGCGACAATCTACTCACTCCCCAAAACTGGGTCAGTAAAGTGTCCCGATTTCGATGCATGGAGCCTATGGGGAGTTTCACAACTTGTGTGATTTAGTAGCTCTATCGTAGCTGTGGGTGGGAACAGGAACTGTCGTTGACTTCACTACTGTTTGTTGAAACCTGGTTTAGACATATTGACGAGCTGCGTGCTGCATCACCTCGCTGATCGCCAAGTTGTTGCCACTGCGCAAGCAAGGAGCATTTGGTCAGGTGTAGGAAAGGAGTGCGGGAATTGTTTTTCGAAATGGAGGTGCTGGGCAGTGTGCAGCTTTGTGTAATTCAGAAAACGTGATCGCTGCGGTCTACTCTATGAATTACAGAGCTTGCTGGGGGTGAAGGGGTATACAAAAGAACGTTGGAGCCTGTTGACTGGCCCTTTAATGAGTTGTTGGGACTCTTCTGGGTGCCACGTGCCGCTTTTAGAAATATTGCAGAATCGCATTTTACAAATTCTTATTGTAGTGATGTGTGTCATGCCTGTGGCCACGGTTTCAGACAATGAAGATTCTGTTCATGTCCAATGTGCTTGGAGGGGAGCTGGAACAATGTAGAGAAGAAGAGGATGAAGTACTGACTACAGACGACGGTCGGCCTCTTCCTAAGGACTCATCTCAGATGCTCAAGGACGATACACTGTGGGACCTTCTGGGTGTCAAGGTATCTTAATTCTAATGTTTTCGGTGTGTTTTAGACCATTTCAAACAGGTCTAGGCTGTTTCTGAGTGTTGGCTTTGTCGCCACTGATCAAATAGGTTGCCCTGTGGGGAAAGCACATAAGCTCCACACAAAAGCATTGAAATAGTGGGCTTGAAATGGCATGATTACTCTGCTCGGCGACAACTTATCTTGACAGTGGAGCAAAGGCTATGAAGTTGTGGTTTCCTCACATTTTTGTTACTAGTATTACTATACAAGTATCATGGCAGGTTGCCGCTGATTTTGTTCAAGTTTCAGTTTTGCTCGCTCGCAGCATTCATTGGCAATTCAGGCTGATGGCACCTTACCCCAGTATAGATGTGACAGATAATATACTTGGTCTTTTTTGACTGTCACTTTTTCACGGAGAACAATATGACGAGGTTATGGCCCAGTCCAATGCTAAACTATGTCCAACGCATTGGCAATGTCATGTTTACTTCGAAAACAGGCGTGTGGAAAACTTGGTGATGTCTAAAAAAATTTTAAAAAGCAACAAAAGAAGTAGTTCAGCCAAGATTAAATTTTTTTCAGTTTGCCTGCACTTTCCCCCCAATGTCCTATTTGCCGTGCGACCAACGTTGTGTCGGCTTTATGTAACTCGGCCCTCAGACTGAAAAGGTTGGAGACACCTGGTTTAAATTCTAGAGTATTTCCCCACAGTGTGATTCGTGGTCAAATTGTAGTCATCTCATGTAAAGCCCTAGAATCTAACATAATTTTTCTGTCTTCACGCTCTCTTCACTAGGTGGCTGACTGCCGCAAGCCACTAATACCATGGGAAGAGTTTTACAACGAGCCCTTAAGTGAGCAGCTCGAAACAGACCGAGGTTTTGTGCACTCCCGGGGGGGCAACACCAAGGAAGGCCACTTCTCCTTTCTTGGTCACGGTTTTGTCCTGACGCCCGCCGTGAAGGCTTTGGGCCTGTACTATGACAACCGCATCCGAATGTACAGTGAACGTCACCTGTCAGTGATTCAAATGCTGGTCGGTGGCGCACCAACTAACCCCTACCTTCGGCTCAATGTGCGCCGGGATCACCTCATTGATGATGCACTTCACAGGGTATGTGTTACAGCGGCGATGGAGCTGGGTCCTTTGTTCTCCCACATGACCGGGAGTTTGTCTAGAAAGTCGCTAAATCATCGCAGTGAGCTTCTAGTCTACCTATCAGGGATCGCATGAATAAATGAGTGAATGAATGAAGCTTTACTTCCACTGAACAGTTACACAATCAAGGGTTGTGAGAGTAAAGTTGAGGAAAAACTGATTGAGAAATCTCGCTCTTCTTACAAGCACTGAAACGGGTCAGCAATGTAATTCAGTGGAAGCAGTAGAAAAAAGGCAGTAAAAGCACACTAACTGATGCAGCATATAATAATATACAGCACGCACGTTTGACATGTTTACATTAGGAAATGCATAAAAAATGCTGTGAGAAAATTGTCATCAGAAAACAAGCATGCGTTAAACCCTTGCATGTAATTTAGGAAACTAGCAACAGGAAACAGTATGAGATAATCAAAATGAATTCACAGTAAGTTATGTAAAAAATAATTCAGACAAATTAGATGTTTTAAACTGTGAAATGTCAATACTTAATTTACAAGATTCATTTAATAAGCTGGTAAATTATTGTTCACTGTTTGCAAGGCACAAGTTGAACGACAAGACTGAGCCTTCCATAGTTCGGTCCTCTTAATAATAGCCTCCCCTTGTTATAGCCCTTCGCAGTAAATCGTCCTGGCAAGACTACTAAAGGAAATTTGGCAAAGTTCAATACCTCACTTCCCCCTTTTTTTTCAGTGTAGAGTTAATGCATCTTGGCCTTATCCCTCATGTAATAGCAGTTTGCATGCAACAAAATGATTGGCCGTCATTGCAAGCGTATCAACAAGTATCAGCAGTGCAGCAGCAGAAGTGCAGTTTAATGAAAGCTGTTTGTTATGGCTGCGATGCACTCGGCTTACAAATATTGCGCCTTGTGCTTTTTGCCTGCAGCTAGAGTTTGTCGCCATGGAAAGCCCGTCAAGCCTGAAGAAGCAGCTGGTCGTGGAGTTTGAAGGGGAGCAGGGCATTGACGAAGGCGGTGTCTCAAAGGAGTTTTTTCAGCTTGTTGTCGAGGAAATCTTCAACCCTGACATAGGTGAGTAGCGTTCTCACCTTCATCAGTTACACGGACAGTTGTAGATGATTTCCCACAGCAGTACACAGGTGCAGGCATGTTTGATCATGTCATCGTAACTGCTCTTTTCCATCCCCACCCATTGGGTCAGCAAAGCGGCCATGGCCATACCACACAAGCTAGTTTCAGCAGGGTGTAGTCAAGTCACGTGTTTCCGTAACAAAACATGGTTCTACCTATAATCTCCTAATGATAGCGTTCAGATATCTGCATTTGTTTCGTATGTACGTATATCACGCCACGGCAATAAGTGCTACCTTTATTCTACTTCACATTTCTGGCTTATGCCTTTGGTTGTTGTACAGTAAAAGCATGGAAATTCGAACTTGAAGGGGCCTGTAAAATTGTTCAAATTAAACGGAGCTTTAATTAGCGGATGGTTGCTAGAATGAACAGACATGGTGCCACACTGTGCCGGCAGAGACTAAAGAAACCACCTCTGGACATGGTATTGCAGATTATTTGTTGCTACTCATTGGTGACAGTAGATTTTTAAATGAAGTTTATGGAGCTCTAACTCTGTTCCGCTTCAGTCTTCGACTTCAGTCTACAAACAAAGTAATTGATCAGTCAGTGATATGCCAGAAAAAAAGCACCATTATGCATTTATGTGAGAAGTGAGCCTTGAAGTCGAGACATATAATGCTATTTATGCTGCCATACACCCCTATTTACATGACAGAGTTAATGTAATTCAAGTTAAAAGTAATCAGTAATTCGCATGTGCTTGCACTCATTTTGTCGCAACTCCATGAGCATTGTTTGCAGCTTGCTCAAAAGTTCCATTGCAGTATCAGAATTCTCATCTGCTCTGAAATGCACCTGTTTCATTGCTTTTCATACTCTGGAAAATTTGGTATGGTATGGTTATTCAACACATTGTCATCACTCTGCGGCCGACTTCTGCGAAGAGCGATGAAAAACAGGCACTTCCAGTTCGAATTAACAGTTGTGGACACGGAAGCATTTGAATTATCGCCAGTTTTGCCCCCATAGATACACTACACAGGGCTGTGCTGGGACCAGGACGTCAGGTCAATTTAAATGTAAGTTCAAATTAACCAAGTTCAAAATAACGAGCTTTTACTGCATTAGCAACTGCCTGTAACTGGGGTTATAAGCCAACATGGCAGCAGCTATGCAGGTGTGATCTCTATATTTGGTACGAACTCGTTTTTGCTTTTGGCCTACTCTCCTGACAACAACAAATAAATGGTGATATGGCTATCATTTTGGGTCATCTCACACTGGGCATAAAGCATCAGGTATCCTCTGTCTTTGTTATTGAGATCAGCTGCTGTTACTGAGAATATGAGATGAATCGTGATTGCATTGCTCTAGAAGCTTCAGGATATAAATATACGGTAAGAAGAATGGCGATTTGGGCTCGTTGGTTTGAATTCATGATAATAAGGGTTGCAGCGCGAGCACAAATGTGCTAGAAGAAACAGACGAAAGTCGAGGTACGGAAGGCAAAGAGGACAACACGAGCGCTGATAACGAAAACACCTTCCTTATCCGCTTGAAGAACACGCAAATTATTCGCGGACAAGAAACTAGAAAGTGGACAAGAAACAGCGTTCGTGTTGTCCTCTTTGCCTTCCGTACCTCGACTTTCGTCTGTTTCTTCTAGCACATTCGTGCTCGCGCTGCAACCCTTATTATCATGAATATAAATATAAAGCAGAACAAAAACATAGGTATCGAAATTACTGATCCCACAGTGTACGATGACGACATGATAAAGTCGAGGCAGAAAGAAGTGGTGTTCACAGGTGCTGCCGTCTGCTCGCTTTTACTTGCTTAACACTTGTGCACAGACGTTATGGGTACCCAAAGCAGATGATGCAGCTCGAGCGGAGACATAATGGTGCACAGCCAAAAGGTCATGGCATGGGGAAGGCCATGGTGCAGTGGCACCACCATGTAGTTTTGATTGAACAAGCCACCTGCCGAAAACTGTCGGTATGCCACTGAACAAAACCCAGGGGTTCTGGCATTTCTGCCCATATGCCTGAACTTATCCATAGTCAACGAAATTCAATTTTGTCCAAGTACTGTGACTGTGAGTAAGATGTTGTGAAACAGGAGAACTCGGGCATGGCACATAAAAGGGGAAAATGGACCTTGATTTGATATCTTTCCACTCTGTATTGAGCTTACCCGGAGGTTATGGTGTCAAATCCCGATTGAGGTAATGACATTTCAATGGTGGAGAAGGGCTAGAGTTCTGTATATTTAAATTTTGATGCATGTCAAACCTGATGGTCAAAATTTTCTGAGCCCTCCACTACAGCACCCTCATAATCATATCAAGATTTCAGCATGCCAAACCCCATCAATTATTATATTTCACTGTGTTTTCTGGAAGTAAGATCTTATGAATCACAGATTTTTGTGGTGGTTCTGTTTCCAGCGATGTTCACTCTGAACAATGAGACTCAAACGTACTGGTTCAACCCAACGTCCTTCGAGAGTGACGCCCAGTTCAAGTTGATTGGAATCATCTTGGGTTTGGCTATATATAACAATGTCATCCTGGATGTGCACTTCCCCATGGTCGTGTACCGGAAACTGCTCGGTCGCAGGGGCACCTTTCATGATCTCCTGGACTGGAATCCTGTGAGCATAGAGATAATTTTTCTTCCTTTTCACAGAGCAATAGCAAACAGCGTAGTGCTAATTAGGTACAGGACCCAGAAAAATGCAGCACAGACTAGGCGTTTTTTTAGTGGACACGTGCAAATAGTGAATCTCAGGTTATAAGCGAATAGTGATTTCGGTCGAATTATTTCGAATTGAATTCGAATAGTATATGTATTGCAAACTAGAAAGAAAAATATGAGTATATCTGTCATGAGCCAGCTGACCTGCACAATATTTAAAGAAAATTGAAACAAGGCCTGTGCACATACCATTTTTTGCATGAAAGAAAGCGAAAAAAACTTTGAGTGCCTTATTTACTCTCATAATCCTTGCATTTTTTTTTTGCGGAAAGCCGATGAAAAGTTGGGGTGTGCAACAAATTTGTGAGGAAAATTTTCTGCGAAAACGTATAGAGGGAAAAAGAGAACGAACTGGCCACAAATCAGGATTGTCACGCCAGCAATTAACTAACTGCAAGCTTTTAGAAGTACTAGTCAAGGCTTACCTTAACAATAAAACCACAGGTTCAACACAAGGCAAGATTTATTTGAGACACAAAACCCGAAAGCATATACAGCCGACTCTCATTAATTCAAACTCGAAGGGACCTCTGAATTTTGTTTGAATTATTAAGAAGTTTGAATTATCATTAGTTCTCAGATAGATGACTCTGGGCGAGGTGACACCACACATTATGGCTAGGCATTAATTTTATCCCATTTAAAAATTTTTAGTTTTTTTAAACCTCAACTGCACGCAATGAAGAAAAAGCAGAGGTGTAAGGTTCACAATTTTATCGGCCATTCACTGCTGATCAGACCTGTTAACGAAATCGTGAACTGCAAACTGCTTCTTTGTTATATGTGCCTTCAGCACAAAGCTCTCTATACCAGTTGAGAAGCATCATGGTGTACCATCCATGTGCTTTGTTTCAAACATTTGTTTACTAGCAAAGCCTTTTTCCTTGAAGGCCCGAGGTGCTTATTTTTCATTTTTAGACTGTTGAGAATATATAGGCTTGCAAATTTTAAACAGTAGTGGGAAAGCAGCAGATATTTTCTTTTATGGAACTGCAAAAAGTATGAATTAATCGAATGATCGAGATTGAATTAAGAGGCTTTTAAATACATTGACAGAATAGAGGGCCAACCAAAAAATTGAATTTTGTTTGAATTAACTGAAAGTTTGAATTATCAGAGGTTTTGAATTATTGCGAGTTTACTGTAGAAGAGAATTAGAATACTGTTTGCAAAGTTTGTGGGCATTGTGGTGTAGGGTCAGTGTTTGTTATTCAACAGGAGACCACAAAAGGTTAGCATACAATGTCCACCTTGGGCTGATGGCCATTTATAGCGAAATTGTTTACAATTGCCTTTTGACAAAAGAAAGCTATCCATCCTAGTCTGGCACATGCAAGGCCCAACGTGTCTTGGTGACTTTCAGCTGCCGTCGCCAGCAGCAAACGCAAAACTCGTTGACTCCGAAGAGCCTATCATCGGCCCTGTTGCTTGTTGTTTAGTGTAGTGTAATCAATCACTTTCAACTTGAAACCAGCTGTGTAGCTTCGGCATCACCCCGTAGCATAAGCAATAAAATGGACACAACGTACAATACAGGCTGCAGCGCGCACTCCCCACTTTGACTTGGCTTAGATTAGATTGGGGCTCTGTGTCTTGATAGTACGCATAATGGTTAAGAGATGGTGATGGGCTATTGTGGGCTATTATCATCAGTGTTTGGAAGGAGCAGACAACATTACTGCGGCAGTTTTTGGGAGTGCGATAATTACTCATGAAAAAAAATCGTATTCTTGTTTGGCGATGTGGGGGAGGGAGGGGTGCCAGTATTACGCAAGTATATATAGTAGTAGATTTCACTTTCAGACTTTCGGTAGAATACATGTGATAGCCTGTAAAATGTGTTAATTTTTAAAATGTGCTATAGTTCGAGCATATAAGTTGGTATAACGAGCTTTTAAACTTGAAAAATGAATCGGTGCGAGGACAATATCTTCATTCAACCTTGAATTAAGGGCTTCATGGCGTTGTGATTTTTTTTTCCTGATAGGTACACGGCTTGGCACTGCTGCACTGCAATGCCACCACCTTTGCAGGGCGTCACATGCGGACTAATATGCATCTATTCGTTCGTTTCAAATAATTGAAAATTTTCAATAATTTAAATTCAATTTGAAATGAATTCAATGACTGCAATCTTTGTTAAAATGCTTTCGACTGTGTTACCTAATTTGAACTCCACTTTCTGCCACTATGAACCTACTAGCCCAGCAACAATCTCTTCAGATTGACCAAGCATTTTAACAGTTATACTTTTTTTCCGTTTAACTTTTATCTAAATAGACTGGCGATGAGAAATAATTCTTCTGGGCATCATCCCCACCTAATTTGGTGGGATTTTTTCATTAAGAAAAGTCAGTTATAGAGCAAGGGCGAAGCAATGAATGTAATGGGAGCAAATTGTGATTTCATGCAAAGTTATACTGGGGGCTAACTCGTTTAAATCCAGTCTCTCATAACTCTATAAAATGCTGGTGTAAGAGAATATGGCTGCTCCAGAGAGAGAAGCAGATTTCGCACCGTCTTGCTGAGATGTTGCAAGGTATACAAGCCGTACACTGATGCCTGCCAGTGCGCAGTGACCATGACTGCGCCCTTGGAATAAAAATTCACAGTTGCTGCCTGACCAACCCCCTTCATATCTTCTTCATTTTCATGCTTTTTCAAGACTGGTGGGGCATTTCATTTCTGCTTGCGCAGCATTCGATGCCAGTTTTGGAATGCGGGGTGATGTTATCGCACTCTGCTTCCAAGCAGTGGAGATAAATGGGCTCGTTTGATCTCTGCTTCAACCGCGTTAGTCTTGTGCCCGCTGGCATGCTTTTGCCCGCAAGTAGAGCTTACTATGCGCGGGAAAAGGTTATTGATTTGGACTTTGTATGGTACATGGCAGCGACAGCAAAAACCAGCTGAGAGTAGAGTGTCGATATAATTGCTATTGCACTGAAAGGTATCTTAATGTACCCTCTGAAAATGACAGATTTGTTCATCTTGGCTCTCATGGTTTACTTAATGTTGAGTAACTTGAAGAAGCTGAAGCATCACGCTTGCAATCAACTTGGCAGTAACTGTCACAATTCTGAGAACGACAGCTATTGAGGCATCTGAAGAAGACGTAATTGATGCGTCATGCAGGTTTTTTAAAGGGGGACTTTGGTGCATTTTCAAACATATAGAGACAAGGTTGCTTTCAAATAGTGTTGACACTCCTCTAACTGCTAGAAGGGTTCATTTAGCTGAGACCCATTTAAATATACGATTAACGGTGTGTCAAAACCAAAACTGAAACGGGAAGTTTTTTGTGCTGGGTATGCGATGATGTCATAAAATACCTTACACTCTGCCACAGCTGGCCGAGGTATAAACAAAGCACACGTGCTTGTTCTATCACACAAAAAGCAAGCTGGCGATGTCATCGGACACAGAATCAAGATGTGCCAGCCTGTCTGAGTGACGAGTTTATGGATGATGCAGCTACTATCTGAGCGCGGAAGCATGGCCTTCTGATTTCGAGCCGTCGGTGTGTAAAGCTGTTGACATGCCCTGCATCGATCTCCTCAGTGCTTAATATTGTCTATGGTTAGTGTAAGACCCAGTGTCAACGACGACTTTTCGTGTTGCTCAAGTAAATCAAATGCACACTACCATATTTGTGTGCCACAGTGCACTTTCAATCGGCACAAGGAAACTCATCCTGATCAGGCTACTCCACGATCGAAAATGCCCACAGAGTACTGTGATTTACACACTAACAACGAGCCTTTACTGCGGTCGCAACACATTAAGCCACTTTCAGTTATGGTCATGTACGACCACTGTCGAATCATCCTACTGTGTTTTAGACATTGTGTAATTTAATTGCCGGATAAAACTAAAGCGCTATCGGGATTGGGTTGAATCTGGATTGAAAATGTCTTAGTAACACCCGAATAACAAAATGTATATTTGCAGTAAACATTCTAGAATGTTTTGAAACGACCAGTGTTATGCGCACAGTCGTTCGCTTCCTTACAGTAGGGTTGAGGAATGCACCAAGAAATGAAGTGAGGCTAACCGTTGAGAAGGTGGTGTGTTGCAAGAGAGCCTGATCATGCTATCCCGTCCTACTATTGAAAACCGTCCTCCAAGTTTTTCATCACACCCTGTGCAGATGACAAAAACCAACGACTGCGCTGGCATCATCGTTTCCTCGTAGAAGAAAGTGCACGCGCCATACGTCTGCTGGGCGAGGCAGGGTAGGAAAAAAGTAGACAAGTTGCGTCGCATACATAGGGTAGCCCACGTTTATAGGTGCAATTCCAGAATTGGCTACCAATTTATGAACCTCATTTTTCTAAAGCACTATATGACTTACGGCTGTATAATCTGGCACATATCATCAGGGTACTGAAGAGAACTTGTGTTGAAGGTTTTATTGAAATTGGTGAATACAAAAAATAGCCGGAGTTCCCCTTTAAACATACCTCTAATCTGCCAGCATGCAGCTCTGTAACCCCTAGTGGGAAATTGTTTAAATTTCATGAAAACTGCAAATATTGTAGTGAGTCATGAACATTAATCATCAATGCTTCATACATTTCATGTTCAAAAAGAATAGGAACATGTGCTTCACGGAGTCATCATTTGTGTTTATTGAAAAAAGATATTGTGTATCTGTATGGTTGATGGTGTCATTAAAACACATGGTGGATAATATGGTGTTGCTTCCTAACTGTGATCATGTGACAGTCTTGCATTTTTTCTTGGTGTGTATTTATTTTATATATTTTCCATTGCAATAGAACTGCAGGCAGTTGTTCGTCAGCACTTGTGTTTTCTGCTTCTTACCCTCCGTGCCATCTTCACGCCATTTTCATCGCAGTAATATGACCAAAACGTTTGTGGGTCCCTAATTTGAATTCTTGTGTCTCTTGTATGCAGAGTTTAGCAAAGGGCTTACAGCAGCTGCTGGACTACAAAGGGGATGACATGGAAGAAGTGTTTGTGCAAAGCTTTAGAATTACCTACCAGGATGTGTTTGGCACCATGCTTTCCCACGACCTCAAGGAACATGGCGACACCATTCTAGTCAACCAGGACAACAAATGGGTCAGTCGCAGTTCATTCCATTTTGGGAAAAAACAACCTCAACAGTATGAGAAGGCTGGGCCTTGCTTGTTGTCATTCTGCATTATTATTTCTTGCCCTAGCCCCGTCAAAGCATGTGGAAAGTTTGCATCATTCAGAAATAGAAGCATGCCACTAAACAATCTGTTAATAGTATAGGTCCTCAGGCTTTGAAGTATGGTTCACCATTAAAGAAGATGCCATAGTAGTATTTCGCTACCAAATACAGCTGATTTATGCTGTGAGGGCTTATCTACTACATTTTAATGCATAGATTTAGACTTTTACACCTTACTAGGCTGTTTCTTTCTCGATAAGAAAACTGTGCTCAATTACATCAGCTTTAGATTGCACGTTAGGTGTTCCCTGTAAATGCAGAAAGTGTTGTCTTTCGTCCACTGGTCAGCACCCTACAAATATTTTTATTCCATATTTTAATTCATAGTTCAGAAAATTTTATTGGTTGATGTATTGTCAACTCGTTTAGCATCATACACTATACATTCTGCGCACGTCCAGATACGTTTTATTTAGCAGGGGCTGCTGGATGACACACACGAAATGAATCTATATCATGCCCTTAAACTTTCCTCATATCTGTTGTCGAGTTTAGTTGGTGAAGTGAATTTATATCATGCCCTTAAACTTTCTCCATGGCTGTTGTCTAGTTTAGTAGGTTTATACAGAAAACTTGCATACGAAGTCTTGAATCCTGCGACAACTGAAATGAATTCGTCACTTACTATTAGTTAAAAAATTTTTAGCCACCAATGCTAGCATCATTCTGATGGGGATGTAGGTGTCGACACTGAGGTCAGTGGCTAAACACTTGGAGAAAGTGAACTAGACTGAAATCGAGATTTAATCTAGTCTTATTCAAGGATCAAGTTGAATAGGGCAGACTTCAAGCAATCGTGTGGATGTTCCAAATATTTGCATATCCTTACTGGTTTTCATAAAAGACAAGCTTAATGGGCACATATCGTGTTATTTTTGTGGTGATAACTGTGATTGATTTCCTTTTTTGCCAATTGCTGAACAGAATGCTTAGACTAGGTCTACAGTAGAATCTCAATGATATTTTACAGTTGATCCGAATTTTGCGATGATATAAATTATCAAGTTGCTTCGGACGGATTACGTTATATAAAATGCTCTGTGATTCAGTGTTATACCAACGGTTTCCCCAGCAATCGCGGATGATACAAATGCACGATTGACTGTTGCACCCAAGTGGCGCAATGCGGCTTGTCCGCTCGTGTCAACTTGCAGTGCTGTTTATCTGGCCATTTAGGCGGTAAGGGGCGAATGAATTTTTGGCGAGCTTTGCTGGTTTCGCTCTCTTCGAGGCCAAGTGTGAACACACCTTAAACGCCAGCAGCGTGAGTGAGAACCCCACAGCACGGTTTTATTCCTTTCAGGCGGCTTTCTTGAGAGACAGCGAAGGCAGAAAATGTTCAAAAGAACACCATGGACTTTTTAAGCAAAAAGTGCTTGACGCCAACCGTGTTCCTGTTCTCCTTCATGATCAGCTTTAACTTGTTTTGATTCATACAGATTCTGGATGATACGAATATTTTGTGTGCTTCCTACGAATTCATATCATCGAGGCTCTGCTGTAACTCCTTTCTTACTTTATTTCCTCACAGGAATTTGTTGACTCGTACACTGACTTTTTGCTCAACAAGAGCATAGAGAAGCAGTTTCGTGCATTTCGTCGTGGTTTCTTACTCGTGACTGACGACTCTCCCTTGGAGATGCTCTTCCGGCCAGAAGAAGTGGAACTGCTGGTATGCGGCAGCAAGGTAGGTAATAGCGATTGTTGCCTCGTACCAGGCTTTTTGCGATAGGTAAGTAAGCTCTCCCAGCTTCGGGCCTCTTTGAGGATAAATGTTAAATCAAGTATATACTTTATGATAAAAATAAGCCTCTCGACTTCTAGCACACTTGCCTGTAGCTCTAAGCACTAAACCGTGATTGTGGCCTCGATTTTGCTCCTGTGATTTTACGCCATGTCAGGACCGCGCAGGCAGTACTCTGCTGCTTTTAAAAGAAAAGTTATCGCTGCTGCCGAAACCATCGGCAACTGTGCCGCGGAGCGGCAGTTCGGAGTCAACGAGCGGAGCATTCGCGGTTGGCGGAAGCAGAAGGAAGCCCTCTTTGCATGCAGCGGCCAGCGAAAAAGTTTCCGCGGACCAAAAAATGGAGCATTTCCTGACGTGGAACGAGAACTCACAGACTTTGTGCGGGAGCAGCGAGCTGCACATCTCGCTGTCAACATCGAGCTGCTACAAGCGAAGGCAAGGGAGATCGCTCGAGACAAAGGCATTCAGCCGGAGGATTTCAAAGCGAGCAAGCATTGGGTGTCTCGCTTCATGCGCCGCGCTGGGTTCTCCCTACGTCGGCGTACGTCGATCTCCCAGAAGCTACCAGAGAGCTACGAAGAGCACCTCGTGGCTTTTCAAAGGTACATAATTGTGTTGCGAAAGGCAGTCCCCTTTCAGCTGGGCCAGATCGGCAACGCGGATCAGACGCCGGTCTACCTGGATATGCCCTCGGCGCTGACGGTGCATCAAAAAGGCTCCAGGCAAGTTATCGTGCGGTCGACTGGAACGAAAAAACGCGGGTGACTGTAATGTTATCCTGCACGGCTGACGGTCGCAAGCTGCCACCCTACGTGGTGTTCAAACGAAAGACGCTGCCGAAGGGGGAGAAGTTCCCGAAAAATGTCGTCGTCCGCTGCCAGGACAAGGGGTGGATGGACGAATCGTTAGTCCTTGACTGGATAAAGTCCGTGTGGTGTCGACGGCCCGGAGCACTGCTGGGGCTCCCTTCGATGCTTGTGCTCGACGCGTTTCGGTGTCACCTGGCCGACTCCGTAAAGCGACTGCTGCGCGACTCCCGCACCGAGCTCGTCGTCATCCCGGGAGGGATGACATCACAGCTGCAGCCGCTTGATGTGTGCCTTAATAAGCCATTTAAGGACCATGTCAAGCGCCTGTACGTGGAGTGGATGAGGTCCGGAGAACCAGAAGTGACCCCTGCCGGACGGCTGAAACGGGCCTCGCCAGCGATGCTCTGCTCGTGGATAGTCGAGGCTTGGGCCTGCATTCCAGAGGCGCTCGTTTGCCGCGCCTTCAAAAAGTGCTCCATCTCCAACGCGCTTGATGGCACTGAGGATGATGTGCTGTGGGAGAACATTTCCGACAAGGGAGCTTCGGAAGAGAGTGCGTCCGACGACGAGGATGAATGAAATGTCAATAAATGCATTTTTTCCATTTTCCTCGGACTATATTCGGGTGAAAACTTTTTTTCTCACGTTTGCTATCCCCGAATTACACCCCGGACTATATGCGGGTCCGAGCTATATGCGGGTTTTTACGGTACTCAAGGTGGCGAACGCACAAGAGCCCACGAGCGATGACCTGTGGTGCCGTCCTCACGAGCCCATCGCAAAAGATAACTGTTCGCTCCAACTGCCACACGCCAAAGAGCCGCCTATCTCACATGTGCCGCCACCCAGACTTGCCGCCAGGCATCATTGCCGGCACCACCGCACAAACCATAATGATGATGGTGGAAACAAACGCTCGCGAGCACAACGCCACTTACTGCTTGGTAGTTGTGAACCTGAAATGCAGCCTATGTGTGATACACGTGCGCCACAAGGCGTAACAACTTTACAGGAGGTGTTAGCACCCCTCACATTCTCCCAACCTTAATTCAAACCATATCCTGAAAAGAAAAACAGAGAAAGCCGCTACACAAGCTCTAACAAAAGATGAACACATGTCCATAAAGGATGTCGTGCTTCACGACACCGCCGCTGGTCGACGCTGCTGCACTGTGCGGCTCGACGACTTCACCCCAGTACCGGTTCCGCAACGGCAACGTCGCCGTTGGCGCAAGGCACTGTCACTCGTGTTGACACGCCTTCTGGTTGCGGCTAGCACTCACGAGGGCCTCAGAAAGCAGGCAGTTGCGCAGGTCCCAGGCATGTTCATCACCCGATATCACGACATATTCCTGGCCAACGACGAAGACGACGTCCGGAAGCCAGCCAGCGGCGGGTTACATCACTCTCGCTGCGCACACTCAAAGCACTTGACGGAACAATGCAGTAGGGCACAGGGAAGGAAGTTTCAGGCTTCTCGCCCACGTGGTACGATGGTCAGCTCTGCTAGCAAATACATTGGTGGCGCCCGAGACACCCAGCAAAAATAGAATAAAGGTCACTTTTCCTAACTCGTGCATCGCAAGATGAAAAAAAAAAGTGAGAGAAGCAGAGTTCAGCGCCTCAACGCCAAGATCCTTTAGTTGTGCCTCGTGCGACAGGCGGCTGCGCAGAGCCTTAGGCCTAATGAGTCGCTTGGCAACAACCTGCATCCAGCGAGGATCCAGCCTAGGTGCAAAGGATGCAGCTGCAAGGAGACATCTACAATGTAAGGTGGCCCTACTCATTCGACGCACACAGCAACTTACCGAGCGATTGGTGCCCACTGTCCCGGATGGTGTCACGACACCCTGGCGTCGAGCCGCTAGACAAGCTAGCAACGACGCTGACTCCTCGAGCCCAAAGAGATAGACGAAGCTATTTACAGAAAATCAGACCAATCTCGAGGCTTCTGCACTCACTCTCTTCGGCTTTGGCCTACAGTCCACGTGCTCTAAGCTTTGCTCACCCCAGGATGCAGACAGCATGGCTCTTCCCAACTGAAAACGTTCTTTAATTCCAACCGCACACACAAAAAAAAAAACTTGCAAGCAGAAAAAAAAAACGCATTGTGCCAACAAGTTCAAACATGTCACAACAACCAATCCTCCTTGCTCTCAAAAAAGCACATCGCTGACACTCGCAATGCAAATCCATTTAGGCCTACTCTACCCCAGCTCAAACAAAGCTTGTAGCGAACCATGAAAAACTGTCGTCCGACGCTCCAAGAGCCCCACGTTGGGCGCCAGTGTGGGGACTCACTGTGGAGAATGCCACGCTCTTGGAGTAAATGGACACAGTAGACACTGTCAGACCAAACAAAGCAACAAAAATTCATTTACCTGCTTTTAGGTCGACGATATTGTCAGCCGAATTAATATACATCAGTTGGATCAACACGCTAAGACAACCTTACACAATACCTCATACAGTCAACAGCATAACATACAAAAGGCGGCGAACGCTTGACTCGCCACGAGGGCCCGCGAGCAATGACCCCCGGTGCCGTTCTCACGGGCCCATCATGAAAGACAACTGTTCGCTCTAACCGCCACATGCCAAAGAGCCACCTATCTCACATGTACCATCACCCAGACTTGCTGGAAGGCGTTACTGCCGGCGCCACTGCACAAACCATGGTGATGATGGTGGAAACAAGCGCTTGCGAGCACGCTACCTTCCGCTAGGTAGTTGTGAACCTGAAATGCGGCCTATGTGCGATACACGTGCGCCACGAGGCGCAAGCAACTTTACAGGGAGTGTTAGCACCCCTGCAAACTGATTGTTATTGTGCAATTTAGCTTGAACAAGTGATTTAAAAAAGTTGGCAATTTGTATAACTATTTTATTATTTCCGATTGAACTTAAATGCTTTTGTGTGTAATTTTTTCAGAATTTTGACTTCAACGCTCTTGAGGAGTCAACAGAGTATGACGGCTACGCTGCAAACAGTCCTATTATTAGGTAATGCGCTTGTTCTTGCATTTTATTTTTTTAAATGTGTTGCTAAGTGCATAGCTATGCCTTCACCAAAGTTGAGCTCGATCTAGCTTAGTAGTTCATAGGCAGAGTGCTTTACTGGCACATCACTGTGAACAAAACATGCTGCTACATTAGACATGCAAAAGTTTTGCCCAACATGGGATGCCTACAGCATGGCCCCATCCAGCCCACAGAAAATGGCATGCATTCTTGTACGGAATGCATTCTTGTATGAAAAATTAATCTTGTACGGGAATAGGCATCACGATGATATGCATAGTATAACCTGTATAACGTTGTACTAGTTGTAAAAATGTGCAAAAATAAATTTCGAGAACCTGTTATGCCTCAACTGTGGCACGCACGTCATTACTAATCCATTTGAATCAATGCTAATGCGTGTTTTTTTTCTTCTTCCTCGTCTTTGATCTGATGCAGACATTTTTGGGAGCTGGTGCACGAATTCAGCCAGGAGCAAAAACGAAAACTGCTTCAGTTCGCGACAGGCAGTGACCGGGTGCCCGTGGGTGGTCTCTCGAAGCTCAAGCTGGTAATTGCGCGCCACGGTACAGACTCGGAAAGGTTAGCAGGAAAACTGCATTTTATTATTTCAATGTTCCCTCCTCTCTGTATGTTGTGTGCGCTTATGTTTTGATGTAGATCTCATGTGAACAAGGTGGACGATTGGGCCAGTTGGTGATGCATGATTTAAGAGTCTGCGCTTGTCCTTGTCTTTTTCCCGTCCGTGTTTTCTACCGCGTAGTGCTCTTAGCTCATGTGAACAGTCCGCCACGGCCGCCGATTCTTCGAACACCGCCGCGCGCACCGATCCAGGCGGCCATCTTTCACTTCTGCGCGCGTAGGCACACTGTCCAAGTTCTTTTACGGGCGAGTTTCGCGGACCTTTCAAGCAAGGTACCTAACCTGCCTCCTTCTCGTTTGTTTTGGTTTTCAAGGTCGCCTTCCCGCCGCATCCCTTCTCTTTATCGCAACTCCTTGCCCTTCTCTCGTAAATTTGCTCTCCTCTCTTGATCACAACACCTTCGCCTACGGAGGAAGGAAATGCCTTCGCCCGTCTCCACCGCTCCGGGACGCCCGCCACGCTGGCTCGAATTAGTTTTGTTTTCTGACTGGAAACGGGCCCAGAGCTGTTCCACACAGTCTGAGATGTGTGTCGCGTGTGCACGCCTTGCTCGCTCTTGGTGTTCGTGTGGGGTCATGATGGCCGGCGGAGGGACTGGCACGCTTTTTCTTGCCGCTCAACAAAATGTCGAAAGTGTGACTGCTTGCCTTGAGCGTAATCCCCGCGTTAGGTGCCGTGTTGCGGAGCGCTTGCTCATAGCTGCTGACCACCTGGCTGCCAACTTGCCGCTTCGGGCGTTCCGGTCGGAGATTCACCATCCCCGCAGCTGAATAGCTGCGGAGATGGTGAATATTTTGTGGGTGGCGGTGACAGCTACATGCGCGTGAAACTGTTTTCGCGAGGCCGACTTCGTCGAAGTCGGGCCCGATGCCGATCCTATAGATGCCGAACAGGACCACTGCGGCGGTGATCTGTGGCAGTGTGTCGTCGACTCCGACCTGGGAGAGCGGGTGGGACATCTGTTGCGATGGTTTAATTATGGCCGATGATGATGCGGACACTGCGGAACTGTGCACGGATTGGGGCATTGTGAATTAAGTACATGGCGAGAGCGATTTGAAGGAATGGGATTGTGAGAACGACGAAACTTCGGAGCCAGTGATTATGCAGCTTATGCCACGGGCCTCGGCGAACGAGCACCCTGCCGTTTTAAACGAACTCGAGACCGCCTTTATCGTTTCTGCTCTTCGAAACACTCGCATCACGGACTTTTGGGGGCAAGAAAAGTTTGTGTTTTCACTCGCAACTTCTTTTTTAAAGCTGTGTTTCATTTACTACAAACTTCGGGATACAGCGAACGGATGCCGCGTCACGCTCAGGTTCGTTATAAGCGGGCTCGACTGTAATGATGTTCGAGTGGATTAACAAACTCATAGAACAACATCGGCATGTATTAAGAACAAACAAGCATTTAATTAGAATGTTAGCAGTGTGGTATGAGCTAACAAAAAAATAAATCAAGGGGAAAAATACAAATATGTACGATAAAAACAACAACTACAAGACAAACTAAAAGATCTTTACAATGACAAATGTAGATGTCGTGTTTTCTTAATAATTTACCACGACAACAAGAAGATGAAAAGGGACACAAGGAGAGAGAGAGAAAAAACTTTATTGGACATTATGGGCCTGCAATTTGGTCTCGGTGGCTTTAGGTGGCGGCTCGTAGTCCCTGGACACGGGCGGAATCCTTGGCCTGCCGGACGGCCCAGAGTTGCTCGTTCAGCTCTGGGCTTTGGAGGGCCGCCTCCCAGCGGCGGCGACGCCGACGAAGAAGGTCCCCCGCGGCTCCTGCAACCGGGGCGGAGGCAGGAACGAGTGAGCTCGAGGCTCCCTGTGATTTGGTATTGACGGACGCTATAGGCGCATCGCGATTGGTGGCATTTTCACGACTGTCGTCGCCGGCACATTCCCAGAGCATGTGGCTCAGCGTTGCTCTGTGCCCGCACACTTTACACATATCAGTGGGGTATATGTTCAGGTAGAGGTGGCGTAGTACGACCGGGCTAGGGTAGGAATGGGTTTGGAGTAAGCGAAAGCTTACGGCATCGCACCTGTTTAATTTCTCGTGCGGTGGTGGGAACCTACGCCTTTCGAGCTTGTAGTGTTGGGTGATGTCACGGAACGTTGTAAGACGATCACCCCATGACCATTCTGAATCTTGTTGCTGCGTGCCTATCAAAGTGCCTTGATCCAGCAGATGCATCGCCCCGCTCTCGGAGTCAGAGGCGGCGGCCACATAGTGAGCCGCGGCTCGGCAAGCGGAACGCTGGTGTGTGCCGGGGTCCATAGGAGGAAAACCGTGGGAATTTGGGGTTATGAGCGCGACGTCGAGTCGCCATCTCCGCACATTTGAAGGATGCGCGCCGCTTCCCACGAGATACGGCCGCGCCGGAAACTGTGGACTGCCGCCTGCGAGTCGCTTATCATAATCTCTGCATGCGGCACGGCGGCGAGTGCTAAGGCTATCGCGGCTTCTTCGGCTGCCTCCGTGTGTCCCGTCGTCACCGTGGCGCTCGCGAGGCATTTGCCCTGATGGTCAACGACCACAGTTGTGTGGGCTCTTCTCCCTTCTCCATATCTTGCGGCGTCTACATATACCCCGTCCGTACTGTTACCAAACTTCTTTTGAAGCTGTCTAGCACGCTTGTTACGCCGTCCGATGTGGTGCGTTGGGTGCATATTCTTAGGAATCGGCGGAACGATCAAGCGGTCGCAGACTGAGGTAGGGACCTCCATCTTTTCTCCTTGCTGAGCGTGATATCTGATGCCCAGTGACTCAAGGATGTGTCGACCCGTCTTTGATTTGGTAAAGCGTTCGTATTGCACAACGTCATGGGCCTTAATTAACTCGTCCAGTGAGTCGTGAAGTCCTAGCTCTAGAAATCTTTCGGTACTCGTATTGATCGGGAGGCCGATAGCTCTCTTAAAAGCCTTTCGTATCATGCGGTTGATTTTGTTTTTTTCTTAGCCTATCCACTTGAGGTAAGGGGCAACATATGTTGTTAGGCTTATCCCGTAGGCCTGCACCAGACGGATCGCGCAGCGTTCGCGCAGACCGTTATGTCTATTTTTGATCCGACGCAAAAGTCTGATCGCGTCGTCTACTGAATGATGGAGTCGGCGCACAGTCTCACTGTTATGGCCATTTGCCTGTATATGTAAACCCAGTATTCGAATTGTGTCTACGTGTGGTATGGAAGTGCCGTCTGACAACAGAACACATATTTTTAAGAATTCTTTTTCCTCGCCACATGGGGTTTTGCGGCCTCTGCTTGTGGGATTGTAGATTAAAAGTTCGGACTTGGTTGCTGAGCACTCGAGGCCCGTTCCTTGCAAGTACTCCTGAACTTTGTCTACTCCCGCCTGTAGCGTTCTCTCGACGTGACCGTCACAACCTCCTCCGGAAACCCAGAGGGTGATGTCGTCCGCATATATACTGTGATACAGTCCAGGTATTTTCATTATTTTCTCTGGCAGCCCCAATAGCACTAAATTGAAAAGTAATGGTGATATTACGGAGCCTTGTGGCATGCCCGTCGAGCCCATCTTAAAATTTTGTGGCTCTTGGTCGGCGATCACGGCACTTGTGCGCCTGCTTGCAAGAAAATCACGTATGTAATTGTACATTTTTCGACCTAGACCTAATGCCTCAACTTGTTTCAGTATCGATTGGTGTTTGACGGTATTAAATGCCTTTTTATTGGTGTTTGACGGTATTAAATGCCTTTTTAATATCCAGGCCAAGAATTGCCTTGGTGGAGCTCGTAGTGTCAACAGTGTGGTGCTTTAGCTGAAGTAGTGCATCCTGTGCGGAGAGATTGTGGAGAAATCCCAGCATGGTGTGCGGGAATGCGTCACGGTCTTCGAAAAAGTCGGTTACTCTAATAACGTGGTAACGAAAAAAATTACTATTAAATGTTTCATGCAGACCATACCAGCTCATGATGCTCGTAGGGGAGTTGACGGGGTTCTGCCGGTGGTCTCGCCAGCTTAGGTAGACGACGAGGATGTTTGGAGTTGCAGCCGACTCAATACGTGTCGCAGGACACTGCTGACCGCGCTCTTCGCAAGTTGAACGTCGGCTGCCGAAGCAGTCAAATTATTTCGAGCCGTATGCATCCCTCCTGGAGGTCACTTTTCCCGAACCTGCTTTAGGCTTACTAACAGTTAAAACGTAGTTGCGACAAATCCCCGACCGAATCTCATAGAGACTAATGCATTCGCCAACTGCTATGCCTACCGGTTAGTGCGTACTAACTGCGTACAGTGATAACATTTTTGCGTGACAAATTTTTACTGCTCCGCTAAACTTTGCAGATGTCACAATGTGCCGCAAATGGTTTTCTGTCATGTTGATAAGCGGGGAGATCAGCCGATAAGTTATTTCGACCTCAGCGAGATTGCCGAGTTGACATTGCAAGTAACGATCGGGGAAGAAATGAAGGCATGGTGGCGACCACCCACAAACGCGCTGGTATGACTAATCGCTGGCGAAAAGCCTTATCGCACTAAACATCCCCGGTTATCTGCTCAGGCACGCGTGTGGCGTACCGTCACTTTAGTCCTACTGCACGCTTTTAGTAGGCGACTACCTGAACGTGCTTGGCCGCCGATCGCTGCCATTTCGTTTTGCGGGACCGTGTTGAAGCCCGCACCACTTTACAGAAACGCGAGCAGCTCGCTGTCACGGAGTGCAGGGTTGCGGATCAGGGGCACCGAGAAACCTTGCTGTATTATGCCAACATGCGCACCGTACAACGAGCGTAACACTGTTGTTACTATGCTGCACGCTTTTATTTAGCGGCAGCCCAAACGCGCCTCCGTCTGCTACCAGGACTGCTAGAGCATCACAGAGAGCACATTGCTTGCAGAAAGCTCTTTGTCGCCGCGTTAACCCAGCATGCTACTCGCTGAATCTGTGCATGGCCTGAACCTCAGAGGGTGTACTCTATAGCAAGCGGATCGGCAATCACGGTGTGCACAGAGTGAGTGAAGCACTGTACCCAACTAGCCACGCAGTAAAAGGTTTGGCTCTCTGCGACTGTACTGCATTAAAAAAAAAACTGTCTCAGTTTTCGCTTAGAAGCAGACCGCGGAACAACTGTATCACAAGCAGCTGACTGTGTCCGTTCTGTCGCTGTACCACGCTGCGTATTCTGGATCCCGCGGCAGTTTCGAAATGCTCATCGGCATAGCCATCGCGTGCTATCGGGCAGTTGTGCGAGAGTTAGAAACTTTCTTGTACTTTGGCTAAAAGAAAGAAATGGCTTTGCAGTAGGCATTTCAGGCAATATTTTCAGTGGCACCGAGTTTCTTCCTTTGTTGGCCGCGATGGTGCATGCCAGGAGATTTGAATTTGTAGCTGGTGGTCAATGCATAATACGTTTAGTGTGTAGTTACGGCGTCGTCCCCGGCAGGTATGTATTAACAGGGTTTCACTGTATACTACGTAGTACACCACCACAGAGACTCCTCATACACTGGAAATGTAGCAAATGCTAGATGGCGCTGCGGCAGTGATGTGCTTTCAAAATAGCAGCCTGCTTGTGAAATTGATGTATAATACCTCGTGCACTGCTCTTTCTCTCTTGACAGGTTGCCAACAGCGCATACCTGCTTCAACGTGCTTCTCTTACCCGAGTACTCTTCCAAGGAGAAGCTGGCAGACCGCCTGCTCAAAGCCATAAACTACTCAAAGGGATTCGGCATGTTTTAATGGCCATCCCCAAGCGAAACTTAATACCACGTCTTGTACCACTGATGGATATCCCCTTCCTTTCCTTGCATCCACAAGTGCGCCCCGCTGGATAACATTTTTTTTTTTTGTGCTCATGTGACGTTGCTTCTCATGTCTCTTGTCCAAGCCCATTTCAGGCACAGATTAATAGCGTGCCCACCTAGCGCATAGGTATGACATGAAGGCTACCTGCTCGGCCGTGTAAAAAGACAGCAGAGCCATGCTTGCCTGCACTTGCCGCACTTTCATTGTGGTCCTCTCTTAGAGTAACGAGTGTGGATTTCTTTTTGTGGGAACCAGGTGGGACAAAGGCAGCCTCGCCTTGCAGCAGCGGGATTTCCTTTATTAGCTTTTAGCTATTCAAATGTATAAAAATGGCTGTTGTGGGTAGTGAAGCATTGATGTTTCAAAAAGGATCTTGTTTGAATTCAGTAGGATGTGATGTTTGAGAAACAGCATGGTACCTCTGTGGTAGGAAAGGAAACACTTTTTACTGAAAGCAATGAGTATGGTGTGGTGCGCTGCATTTGTATGACCACACACAATATTTCCACATTTATAAATAAGCAATATGAGTCGATGGATGTTCTTTCTTTCTTTTTCACAAAGTGAGTTTATTCTTGCATCTAGTATATATATATATAGGTTGCGAGTACATAAATTTAGTGTCTTTGAAAGCAGGAAACCTTTTTCACTTTCTAGAGCAGCACTTTTAAGTATCAAGAGGTACCACAAGTCGATACCTGACGAAGTTGTGACATTAGTTTGCAATGTGTGAAAGTGAGCATAATTCATTATATAGCATAGCAGTTGCCACATCCATTATGTGCTGGCATCTCTCATGCGTTTCCCAAAAAGATAATCACCTGTGGAGAGCTGCTAATGAGAGGACTGGTGGGTCTTTTAGAAAGGTCATGGTTAGGAACAAGCAAGTCATGTACTACGTGTGCTGTAACTTTGTCACTTGTAAATTTGTTTTTTTTTGTACATACACATTGCTAAAGAAACAACGTAGGATTGCAGTACACGAAACCCTCCATTTGGGAAGCATAGCCAGCTACAGTAAGGCTCCTCAGAGGCCTTTCCCATTCACCTGCCACTGAGGAGTGTGTTGAGGTTTGTTTTTATTTTCGTCCTGTGCGCAGTAATGAGAATGTTTTCTACATGCTGTACGCACATATATGTACACATAACACTGGAAGATTTTCAAGGCTTAGAGCTTGATTACATAGTCTTCTGCCGCCCTACACCAAGGGTCCCCAAGGAAGCAAACATTGTGTTAGCTTGTGCTAAAGAATGTTTTTTTTACGACGAAATCAGTACAATGTGGTTCGTGTATACCATTGCTGTTTTCGTTTTTTCAGTTCAAGAACAAGGTACCCTAGCTGCAGGCATATAATTGGTTGTTGCAAGCTAAGCATGTTGTTGAAAGGCTGTCGGTAAACTTGACCGTTCACCAGGCAGACAGACAGCGTTGTGCTTGTGTCAACCTCATGTTAAGTGAAATAAAGTCAATTTCTTTTGTTTGCTGAAGTGTCTTTTTTTTTCATGCACAGTTTAGCGCTTTTAAAGGATCTCAAGTCACCTCAGATATGTGTTTTGTAACATGTCTATTACACACATGCGTGAGTCAGAATGACATCATCGACAATGCCAAGCGTAGTGTCGCTATGTGCCGCAGGCCCGCCACCATCCCGTGCTGCTTTCCGGGCCTTTCGGTATTCCCAACGTTGGTAGTGACGTCACCAGAAAAGTCTGGTCACGTCAGCATTAGCGGGAACCTTTCTGTTTGCCTGTAGGTAAGCGTGCTCTCTATTTATCCTCTTGGCACGACAAGGAGGAACACTCATCCAGGAGGAGAAGACAACGAAGGAGACGTAGCGAAGGAAAGAGCAAAATGAGCGCGGGCCGCATTTCGGTCATCAGACATGTTTAACTCCACTTTTTTGACACTATTTTGAGTCATTCTCACTGCTAGACTGACACATTGGTTCGCTGACTGTGGTTGAACCAGCTAAGCCGCTAGCAGAGTTATCAGAAATGTGGGGACTGCACGTGGATCTGTACTCTGCTACTACAGACGTTCAGTCTAGCCGAAAGCCTGTTGTTGTTTTACGTTTGATGGCTGATAAGGTCTGTCTACATGTTGACAGGTAAATTTTTGGGATGGCTTTTCACCAGCCAATTTTTGTCTCTGCGTGCTAGGCTAGGCCACTATCATTTTCTCCAAAGGTCGACAACTGAAGTTATGATTTCGTGCAAACATGGCAGTAGAAATTTACGATAAGTTACTTTAGTGGCTTGGTAATTTAGTAGTGTAATGAATTACTTAAAGCAAGTTAAACCAAAAAATTACTCTTTACTTTCTCAATTTCTTCTCTGGGCCTTGTGCGCCTTGCCTTCTCAACTATGAACTTGCTTAGGTTCTCGGTGCATGCCTTAGCCGAGCCGTCACTACTGGGCTTTAAAGGTATCATTAAATATATATTGCAAGAACAGTTGTTAAGTACCCTATATGCATCCGTAGGACAACATGCAAACCTATGAAGCGGTTCACTTTAGTGATGGTTTTGCTGCTGATTCAATATGTCTGAGTGCTTTGTAATCGGTGGCCTTTAAACACCCACTCGTTGCTCGATTCACATCATTTTACGTCTGGCGTGATTCTACGCTTCTGCTGTGCAAAATATGATACATAAAAAGGACATCAAAAGCAACTATCAAGTCAAAGTTGATTGTTGAAATAGCGGCCCAGAAACCTCGTAGCGTTACTTTTGTGCCAAGGAAGGGCCAATTTTGAATTCAAATCACGTTTCAGTGGTACGCATCGAGATAGCGCAATTCAAATTACCCGGCTCAAGAAGCGGATCGACAGGACCGATGCACATCAAGGTTGCCGTGCAGAACGTTGCCTGGCTTTACTGCGCTAACAGCAGCAGACCGAAAGCAGCGGGAGCCACAGCAGCAACAATGGACATTGATTGATTTCCTGTCATTGGCTCCGAGATGGCAGACGTGTTTTGGTTCGACTGCGCCCTGCTAGATGGCACCACCTGTCCCGTGGAACCACGTGAAAATTGAATATTTGGACCACTCGTGCCATTCGGCATAGTTTTGTCCGGCGTTTCTTTTTTCCATGAATCAAGCAGCATTTTATTGTGTCTCTTGACGTACGGAAGGTTCTTTATTTAGTGAAGTTAGATCGATTACTAGTGATTAATTGTAGGCGGTCCTTCTGATGTCATCGAGATCATTTTGAAAGTGTCCTACTGCGGCGCTTGTGCTATTGAGCATTTACTTTAATTTCTCGGTAAGTAAGACACTTTTGATAATACTGTCGTTTTAGATGTCATCGATTGAGCTTTCACTCTGACGTAAATTGTTACTTGACTTGTGTCCCTTTAAGGAGAGTCTTTCCACTACGTGTAGGAAAGAATTGTTAATTTGAGTGCTGGCTTTTTTTTTTTGTTGGACACAAGATTAATGAGAACTGAGATTGTTAGTTATCAATGATCATTGTCTATTAGTTCTAATTAATCATTCCACTACATGACTTCCGATCACAGTTTTTTTCTTAAATGCGAATCAGCTCTTGCTCAGGGTGGTGTCCGTCCCTCGGCAACCGTCCACTCCCCCATTGCTCCTTCGCCAACTCTCCCCCCTCTCCTCGCGTGAGAGGAGAGGTGGCCGAGTGGTACCTCCGCTTGCTTTGCTCAACACCACCTTGCTTCATCTTTGGGACGCGCGGAGAGGACTGACACGGCGATGGAAACGGCGACGTCTGAATCGTACGGAGAAAAGAAATAGATCAAATTACGCGGGAATCTCAAGAATACGCAGCGACCCTCACCAGAAATAATTGGCAAAGATTCTGTAACCGGCTTTCTGGAACATTAGGCACCGCAAAAACATGGTTGATTCTTCGATCCCTCACAGGCCCCACCACCACGAAAACAAAAACACTTCAACAGTTACACATCCTAATACACGAGTATCAGGACGACCCCTGGAGACTTCTCAGTGAGCTCGAAAAACATTTCATTCCGACAGGCCCAACACCGCATTACCCTGACTATTGTTAGGAATTTTCTCTGTCGCGATGGTAGCGGTGGCGAAGAGCGGCGAGCCGTCAAGCGGACTTCGCTGAAGCCTTAGCCCAAAGGCGAAACAGGGAGGCAATTCGTTTTGAAAACAGCAACAAAAAGGAGCGTCTACTGTAGCAGGTTGTCGTTTGTACAGAGCCGGCCAGCGCGACAACGTCGGCTGGGGCAAAATCCTCTAACATGGGGCCGGCTCGGCCTTGAATAGCGTTTTGGGACTCTTCTGCGAGACCAGTTCCCCGGAACGGCACAGTGGCTCGGCTGAGGAGACGCAGCCATACCCGGAACTGCAAGGTGGTTCGGCAGAGGAAGGAACGTTATCCCCGGAACTGCACGGAAGGCGGCGCTGGGGCGGGGGAGACAGCTCGTCGGAACAGCGCTCGATCTCGTGAGACGTGCTCCCGAACGAGGAACATGTCTGTGGCACAACAGCACCCCCGCCGCCAGACAATGCATCCGGAGTTTTGAGCCGTCAGCGCGGCTCGGAAGGAGGGATGCTGGTTGACCGTCGGTAGCCGTTCCGCTCTCCGCCCGTTGAGACTTCCATAGGCCTGCAGAGGTTCACTGGAACGACGGAGTCGAACACAAAGCCGAACCACTCTGGCCAAAGCAAGCACCCTCCAAATGCTGATCAAATCGCCAGACCAGCAGGAACCAAATGTTTCCTCGAGATCACGCTGGGCTAACAATTAGCATCACGAGCAACGAATCTCGGGAGGAATACACAATGCGGACACACCTTTAGCTAAGTGTCAGTGCATGACACCGCTAAACCAAACAGAATTTTTTTTCATGAGCGATTCTCGATTGTGACCCGGGCAGATTGGGAACGATCGAAGCTGCTGAGGTTAACTCAATTTGGCCCCGAATCTACAATTTAGAATACCAAGAACACCCGAATCACGCACATTGGCGTCTCTTGCAAGCTTCAGACCGCTAAACAAAACAAAGTCATTCGATAAGCCCTAACTCAAGGTGCTCAGCCAATGAGCATCCCAACAAAATAAAACACGCTTAAAAAGTAAGAAAATAAGAATGAAAATCAAACTTGCGCACGTTAAACAAAACAAAGGGCAAAGTTGACCTACACTGACGCGCATAATAAATGTAATGTCAAACGCAGAAGGTATCTTAAACAGGGGCTTTCACTATGCCTTCTCTGTTAAAATAAAACACACTGACTTTTACCTTTCGAAATATTATGGAAACAAAATAATCAAACAAACAAATTAATGTCAGCTTTTTCGATGAGAAGGAATGTAAAACTTCCAAACATTCCGACGCCTTCCTTGCTCAACGGCTTACGACAAAACTAGAAAAGTTATTTTCAAAGCTAATTACAATATTCATTCTTCGTAACGGCAAGACGGGGGCCCTCTCAGACGAACTCTGGGGAGTCGCGCACTCCATAGCTTTCGAGGGATCCGGTCTTGACAAAGGCACAATGAACAAACTTGTTCGCCAAACTTAGTAGCATCGACTTCTGTACAGCCACTTAACTCGAAGAAAAGGGCATCTGCAGTGCGTCGTTTACCCCTCCGGTTCGACCAGTGACCCTCTCGCCACGGTGGGGAATGACAGCCTTTGTTACAGCTCAGGCGTACGCGATGCTTCTCCACGTGATTGCCTCTACGTGGCAGCGAAAAAGATGAGACCAGGCGATTATCTCGGTGTCCGAATTTCAGTGAAACTCGGTTTTTCTTGACGGACTTCCCGCCTGATCTCAATCTCAGTGATGGTCTGAGATTCAAACATTTCCCACAGAGCGTTTTCGCGATCCTACGCCTACTACTAAACCCGGCGCCTCGAATGAAGACGTCACAGCATTTAACGGCGGCTTTAGCGTGCTTGGCGTCAGTCGTCTTTACCGCTCTATGCTTATGCCGGCGCCTCTTTCTGTCGGAACTTCTCCCAATACTGGCAGTCTCGGCACACTTACCCACAAGTCTGCTGCCTTCTTTGTGTGGAGTCGAAGTTCCCGATTTGTTAGCGAGCGTTTCCTCGGGCCCGTCGCTAGCGGTCTCTGTCTGTGACAGAACGGTAGTCCCAATGACTTCAAGGCTAAGAAACGCGCTTACAGAGCTTTTGATCGGTGGGGGTCTATCGCTGTCGTGGATAGCCCTTGTTCTCTGGCCTTCGAAGTCGGCCTGAGGCTCTCTTTCACGAGCTTTGTTCTGTAGCGCTTTATGTCGCGCATCCTGCTCAAGCTTTTGTCGACAGGCGTCAACCTCTAGCGCCCTGAGACGCGACTCGTCGTCAAGCTCTTTTCCACGCGATTCATCTTGATAATCTGCGCTGCGAAGCGGCTTCATCTCCAGTGCTTTATGATGCACCTCGGCATCCTTTGCTATGCGATGGGCCTCGGCCCCTAACTCCTCGCGATGCACCTCAGCGTCATGCTCTCTCTGGCGCACTTCGGCGGCTTGTGCTTTG